CCATGGGGCTCAGCCTGGCCCTGGCACCCAGCATATGCACATCCCCAGAGGGGGCTGCCTGCCTGCCTGCCTGCCTGCCAAGCAGCCATCCCTCTTGGTCACCCTTTGGGGAGAAAAGGAGGGGCTGGGAGGGGCTGGGGGTGTGAAGGGCACCCGGGCATGGGCGACGGCTGGGGCAAGAGACCCGGTGCCGCCTGGCCGCCCGTTGAGCTGGCGCTGCGGAAGAAGGCCACATGCCACGGTGGCCACCCCAGCCCGACCTTGCGGGTGCCCTGCGGGGCTGCGGACTCGCTCGGGGCCCTGGTGCCCCCTGCGGAGCCTCGGGGGCCCAGCGCTGCCCCGCCTGCTGCTTCCCAGCCGCAGCGGCCTCTGAGCCCCGCGGAGCGATGGGCGGCCTGGGGAGCGGGGCCTTGGGAGAGCCGCAGGCCTCACTGCGGGCGGCCGCACCCTCTGGCCTCGGTGGCGCTGGCCATGGTCCCCGCCACCCTCCACAGAGCCCTGCTGGACAGATCCAAGGGCCGCCAAGCTGCCACGCAGAGTCCGGGGACCGGGCCTTCCCACCGCTGTTCCGGCCACAGAGCGCCTGGCGGGGAGGCAGCATACCCTGGGGCAGGCGGTCCGGGGACGCCTCCCCACAGCACGTCCCACCCTTGAAGCCCTCCGGCTGGGTGGCCGTCGCTGCTGCCTGCGCAAGCGGGTGCCACGGCCGGACGGTGCGCGGCACGGAGGAGCCCCTCCTTGGCTTGCCTGTCACGCCTCCCGGGATGCCCCTTTCCCTGCCTCTGGCAGGGAGGAGACGGACAAGACCCACGCTCTGCTCCGCCATCATGTCCGCCAGAAAAGCGGCAAAGTGGGCAGGCCCAGGTGCTGCTCCCCTCCTCATGGGAGGAGGAGATGACACTCTGCACGTGCCCGGAGGGATGCTGTCCTGCACCTCCACTGCTTCCCAGGGCCGGGCCTGCCTGGGCCTCGATGAGGCTCGGCCTGCAGTGCTGGCGTCCCTCGAGCCGGGGAGGGGCGCTGAGGCCACCGTCCCAGCTGGATGGGGCTTGGCGGCTGCTCTCCTCAGGCGCCTGGGAAAGGAGGGCAGCCAAGTTCATGGATTCCCAGACTCGCGGAGCTGACGGGAAGCTGGGAAACAAGCCGCAGGCTTTGCTGCCCATTAACGAGGCCCAATTAGCTGCAGCGAGGCAGGCGCGGCGCAGCTGCAGCCGCTGCCCCGGGAGCAAAGGACCCCTGGGGTCTCCCTGTTTTGAAGCCGGGGAGGGACGGAGCTCCGGGCTTCTCCCAGGCTGGGCAACGGGAGTGGACGGGGCTGCGGTGGGAGAGGCCGGGTTCTGGTAGCCGCTGGCGTGCCTGCTGTTTCCACTCTGGAGGAGGTGTGGCAGGACGGCCAGCGGGGCCGGGTTTCAGCCTGGGCAGCTTCGGGGCGGCTTGTGTGTGCATTCGGGTCTGTCTGGGGAAGCGCCGTGCGGTTGTGGTGTTGCCTCCTTGCCTCAGCTCCGCTTGTTCCCACTGTGCAGGTGAGTTTGTGTTGGTGGCACTTTCAACGGGCTGGGGACAGGGCTGGCTGCCTTCGGCTTCCGGGGACAAGCACAAAGGGCCGTGCTCTCGGCTGCGGCAGATGCCCCAGGCTGCTTCCCGGCGGAAGAGGGGGTGCCCCGGGGGGGGCAGGAGAGGCCCCCCCACCCTGCCTGCCTGGGATCTGCTCCGGCAGGAGGATGCTCGGCTGGGAAGGGGCGGCTCTGGCTGTGGGGGTCTGGGCCCACCATCCTCACACCTGAGCGGGGCTGGAGGGGCGCCCACCCCTCTCCACTCGCGCTCGGGCGCTGCTGGTTCTGCGGGTGACGAGGAGGAAATGGCAGCGCTCCAGGACTCTGTGGGTGGTGGCAGCCTCCGCGCTCCCTCCGCCTTCGGGCAATTGATTTAGACATCCGGAGCTGGGAGGAGAGACTATTTCTCGGCCGGCTGAGAACAATTCGGCGTCATCGAATGTTTACCGCCCAGAGACTGTGGCCTGTTGGCCGGTCTGCTTGATCCTCACTGCGTTTGGATCCACCGATTGTCGTCTTGCAAGGGGTCCCAGCTGGCTTGCGTGGCTGCCCCCCTCTGCACTTGTGGGCTCACAACAACCCTGTGAAGTAGGCCAGGCTGAGAATGATTTGCTGGCCCAGTGTCCTCCGGCACGCTTCGTGGCTGAGTGGCGACTGGAGCCCGGTCCCCCCAGGGCCGGGCCAGCGCCTCGGCGGCAGCGTCATCCCGGCCACGACAGAATGGGGTCGGCACGGGCTGGAGTCGGTTCTCGCTTTCCGGGGACGGGGAGCTGCAGCAGCTCCTGCCATCCTCCCGCTTCCCCTTCTGCGGTGAAAATGGCTCCTTCGGGGGCCTGGCACGGCCACTCGCACCTCCAGTGCGTGCGTCGGTCTCCGTGGCCGGATGGCGGAGGGCCAGACACCCCCAAGAGCCCCCGTCCTCCGTCCCTCGCAATCTTTGCTCATCGTGGGCAGGGAATTGGCTCTTACTGGCGGGCCTGTAAGGAAGGGGTCTGCGAAACGGCCGTGGAGGCACAGCTCCTTGGGCACCCCTTCCCGCGCAAGGGCCCGCCGTGTGCCTTCCGAGGGCCCCCTGCACGCCGTGTGGCATGCCACGTTCGGCCTCGCCACCGTCTCCCGTGGTCATGGCTGGCGCCCGGCCAGCCCGCCCACCCACCCGGCGGTGCCAGGTGGCTTGGCTGGAGATCTGGGGCAGCAGGCCGTGTGCATGGGAGACGGAAGCAGCAGGCCCGGCCTCCGTGGAGCCCGGCCAGCGCTCCCTGGCATGGGGTCCCTCCCCGGGTCCGTTGCAGTGACCGCGTGCCCCCATCCGGGCTGCTTCTTTCCGCCTTCCCGACCCTGGGGGCACCCTGGGGGATCTGCAGCTGCAGCCCGTCCCAGAGGCCACCCAGCCCGCTGGCGAGCTTCCGGTGCCAGAGCCCGAGCGGGGGGCACGGCCAGGCCCCCTGCCCTGGGAAGAGGCCCTCGCGCAGCACCTCCGGGCCTGGCCGGCCTCGTGCTCAGGGCAGCCTTTCCCGGCAGTGCCCGTCCGTCCCTCTCGGTCGTGCCTGGTGCAGGCATTCCTGGTCTTCCCTCTCTCCCACTTTTTAGCGTGACCCCCCCCCCCCCCGTCTGGGAAGGGCTCCCATCTGCCAGCCAGACTCTGCGCAGCCCCGGCCGCCTGTGTGCGGGCCTGGGCAGGATGGGGGGGCACCAGCCCGGTGGCAGCTGAGGCAACAGTCCCCCCTCGGCCAAATGTTTGCTCAGCCCCGTCCAGCTGGTGTGCTTGGGAAGGGCTGGGGGGGGGAGCGAGTGGACGCACACAGCTGTGGGGGCTCCCCCCGGGCCATTCAGGGGCAGCTGTCTCGCCCGGCGTGGGGGGGCCTTCACGTCGCCCCTTTGTTCCCATCAGCTCCGGTGCAGCTGCTGCAAAAGGAAAGCTTGACTTTGCTCAAAGGCGGCCTTTAAACAAGCCTCCGTCGCCTTAGGAATCCTCGCTGGGGGTCTCCATTCTTCCCCGCCTCCCCCCTCCCCACAGACACGGGAGGAGCCGGGGCCGCTGCGGGCCGCGCCTTGCCCGGCATCTGGACCCCTTTGGTGTGTCTCCGTGGCGGGCGGGGGCGGGGGGCTTTGAGGCCCCTGCGGGCCGCACGTGCCTCTCGGGAGGGCCCCGGCTGCCGTCCACGCGGGCGCTTCCCTGGGGCCGGTGCAACAGCCGCGGCCATCTGGGGGGGCGTCCTCGGGCCGCTCCACCCCTCGGGCCGTGGGGAGCTCTACACAGAGGGGCAGCCACGTGGGGCGCCGCGCGATCCGCACTGCCTTTTGCAGAGATCCGCTCGCGGCGGAGCTGCCTGACGTGGCGACAGCCGCTTCCGCCGTGTGCTCCTGGCGCTTCTGGAGTGTCGAGAGCCGTTTGGGTGTGGGGAACAGGCGCGCAGGGCCGCTGGGGGGGAGTCATTGTCCCTGGGATGAGACGGCAGCATTCGGGGCGCCGGCAGGATTGTGCTGCGCGAGGGGCGCTAAGGCGGACCACGTCACGGAAGCCGGGCGGTGCCCTCCGTCCCTGCTCCTTTAGGTTGGGGAGGCCTCTGGGGCGCCCCGCGTCCCTCTGGCCCCGTGGTCTGGGGGTGGGCTGAGGGGCTGTGGCGGTGCCGCAGGGGCTGGTGAGGCTGGGCACAGACCGTCGTTTGCGTTCCCGGCAGCCCACCCCGCCAAAAGGGGAAACCGAGGCACGTGTCCATTAAGCTCGGGATCCGACACAGCGGGAGCTCCGCAGCCCCTGGCACGCTCCTCTGGGCCACGTGCCCGTCAGCCTGCACTGCACAGAGTGACCCCGAGAGAGCAAGTGGGGGCCGAGGGGGGCAAGAAATCCACATTCACCTGGTAGGAGCAGCAGACACACAGGAACAAACATTTGGAACCACGTCTTTTGACCCAGCAACAAGCTGAGTTCTGTCCAGGGAAGGAAAACAAGACAAGTGTCTTTGATCTTTGTGTACCAAACAGTTGAGGGGGGATGCTCACTTCAAGGAGTATCTGTTTGCCCCCCAACACACTTTTTCACAGCAAGTGTGCGCAGACCCGTGTTAAGAGCCCCCATCACTCCAGCAAACAAGCAGCATGAACAGATGTTTTTAAAGAGAGCAATGACTGGAAAAGCGGCCAGCCAAAGCAGCTACAAATTTAAAAAAGAAACAAACGCAGCGGTTTAATGCTACTCGGGAGGGAGCAGAGGGGGCTTTTGCCCCCGTGTTCAGTCCGCCGTGATGGCGGCTCCATGTGCTCCTGCAAGCGTCTGTGGGGATGGTCCTTTGCGGGGAGCTGGCTTTGTCGCGGCCTGTGCACGAGGGGCGGCAGGGGACGATCCGCCGCCACAGCACGGGTCGTGGCTCACCGGCAGTGGGGGCCCAGCCCCCCGGCCAGCAGGAGTCAGCCCCTCCCTCTGCCCCAGGCACAGAGGGGTCCGCGATGAACAAGCTGCGCCAGAGCCTGCGACGCAAGCAGCCGGCGTACGTCCCGGAGGCGAGCCGGCCCCACCAGTGGCAGGCGGACGAGGAGGCCGTGCGCAAGGGCCGCTGCAGCTTCCCCGTGCGGGTGAGTGGGGGGCGCGGGCCAGGGCCCCGGAGGGGGGTGGCCATGCAGCAGCCCCCGCCCCGCCACGGCCCCGGTTGCACAGCGGCGGCGGCGGCGACGTCGGCCGGGGTCGTGGGCCACGCGGGGGCACCTGCAGCCCCCCGCTGCGCGGCGGGCAGGGGCCGGGCCTCTCGCCCCCGGCCACCCCGTGCTCAGCCCAGGCCAGCTGGGCTCCGCGGCGCGCCAGCTTCCTCCCCTGCAGCACCCACCTCCCTGCTCCTGCCTTTCTGGCGGGGGAACGCACGTGGCATCCGCAGGGTGGGAGACGAAGGGGTGCCTCCGTGCTTCAGCAGGGTGCCCGTTTTCATCTCCAGTGAGGAGCACTGGACTCTGCCGGCCCGGAAGCGTCCCGGCCGAGGCCCGGCTCAGCTTTCTCCCTCAGCCGCAAGGTCCGTCATTCGCTGCCCCGGGAGTTGCGCGAGTCGTTTTCCTCGGTGGACAAGCCGGGGAAGGCGAGGCGGAAGGAGCCCGCCCTAACTCTGCTTCTCCGCTGCAGTACCTGGGCCATGCCGAGGTGGAGGAGTCGCGGGGCATGCACGTGTGCGAGGAGGCGGTGAAGAAGCTGAAAGCGGTGAGCTGGGGCGGCGGAGGCCCTCGCCCTCGGGGGGCCGGGGGGCCGGATGCCCGGGGGTGGGCCCTGAGGGTTGCTCCCCCGCGGGCACCGGAAGCGCCCCCCCGAGCCCCTGCGTGCATGCCCAGCCTCCACTGCGCATGGAGGGCGGGGGGCCAGCAGGAGCCCTGGCCAAGCGAGGGTGGATTGGGTGGGGTGGGGGCACGGGCCCTGCGCCAGTAGGGGGCGCTCCCTGGCTGCTTCCAGCTCTGCTGTCCCGATCCTGTGAAAGCCGCTCTGCAGGTCGGGGGGCGGGATTCCGTGCCACCCCTGATGTGGCCGCGCCTGCTCTGTTTCACCCCACAGAGCGGCCGCAAGTCCGTGAAGTCTGTGCTGTGGGTCTCGGCCGACGGGCTGCGCGTTGTGGATGACAAGACCAAGGTGCGGCATCCCAGCGCGGGCGACCCCGCAGGGAGCGCAGCCGCCCTCGGGCGCCCGCCTGGGCACCCCGGCCTCCCGCAAAAGGTCCCTGGCAGCCCGGCCCGAGGGGGGCAGCAAGCCCGACCCGGCCGGAAGCGGCCTGTGGGGGGAGGACCGGGCAGGCGGCCCCACGGCCCAAGCCGCCGCCTGTGCCAGACCCGCCCCTCTGCCCGCGGGCCTCCTCCCTCTCTGAGGGAGCTCCGCTTCGCCAGCAGCCGTAGTGCAGCAACGCAGGGCGCCCAGAGCATGTGCAGAGTACCGCCCCCACCCACGGAGCGCGTCGCAGGGCAAGGCCGGTGGCTCCTTCACGAGGTGGGAGGAGCGTGTGCCCCCATCTCCTCTGCGTCTCCCTCCCCAGGACCTCATTGTGGACCAGACGATCGAGAAGGTTTCCTTCTGCGCCCCCGATCGCAACTTTGACAAGGCCTTTTCCTACATCTGCCGGGACGGCACCACGCGCCGCTGGATCTGCCACTGCTTCCTGGCACTCAAGGACTCGGTGGGTGGGCCGCGGGGCCGGGCCGGGCCGGGGCTGCAGGGCTTCGTCCGGCACCGGGAGGCACAGCGGCAGCCGCAGCCCGGCAAGGGGCGCCCCGAGCTGTGCCCCGCGCCCGGGCAGGCCCCCCACCGCCCGGGCGGGACCCATGGCCCTCGGGACTTGGCCGGCCCTCTGCACGCCCCCTGCCCCTTCCCGCCCCGCCGGCTCAGCGGCGCTCTCTGCCCTCTCCCCGCCGCAGGGCGAGCGCCTGAGCCACGCCGTGGGCTGTGCTTTCGCCGCCTGCCTGGAGCGCAAGCAGAAGCGCGAGAAGGAGTGCGGCGTCACCGCCTCCTTCGATGCCAGCCGCACCAGCTTCGCCCGCGAGGGCTCCTTCCGCCTGCCCGGCCCGCCCGCCTCCGCCACGCGGCCCTCGGGGGCCCGGCTGCCACCGGAGCGGAAGAAAGGTAGGGCCGGCCGGCCGGGCCGTGGGTCCCGCCGCGGGAACGGGCCTTGCTGGGCAGGCGACGATCCCCTGCGACGCTCCTCTCGTGTGCCGCGGGGGGGCCGAGGTCGAGGCCGGGCGGGGGCACGGCGTGGTCCCGTGGCAGGCGAGAGCCGGTTCCCGCCCCACGAGAGCCCCCCGGTGGGGGCCACGCTTGGCCGGCCGCTGAGGCGGCTGGAGTCCTCGCAGCCGTGGCACGGCTGGAAGGGGGACCGGCCCAAGCAAGGGCGCGCCGAGGCAGCGCTGGGGGGGGGGGCATGGGTGGCCATGCCAGGCTGTGGCAGGGACCCGAGGAGAGCGCGGGGGCTGGCGGCCGGCCACCGATGCATGCCAGGAGCCCCGCCGGGGGCAGCCTGGTGACCTCCGGGCCCTCTCCTCTCCTCTCCTCCCTGCAGCGGAAGCAGCGGCAGCCCCTTCGGCTCCCCCGCCGGGCCCCGCGCAGCCCGGCAGCGCCTCCCCGCCCCAGGGGGCCGTGTCGCCGGAGGAGAAGGGGGAGCCGGGGGGGGCCCGTGCCATTCCGCGCCGCCACGCCCCCCTGGAGCAGCTGGTGCGGCAGGGCTCCTTCCGCGGCTTCCCCACCCTGAGCCAGAAGAACTCGCCCTTCAAGCGGCAGCTCTCCCTGCGCCTGAACGAGCTGCCCTCCACCCTGCAGCGCCGGGGCCATGGGGGGGGCGCAGGTGAGCGGGGGGGGGGGCCTTCCGTGGGGCCCTCCGCGGCGGGACGCAGGCGGCCGGGGGGCTGGGGAGACTGCTGGGCGGCCGCCGTGGGGCCACCCCCCAGCGCGGCCCATGGGGCCCTCTGTGCCCCCCCAACACGCCTGCCCTTCTCTGGTTGCAGAACTCGCCCCGGCATCTGGCGGGGACTCGGACGGCATCACCGCCCTCTGCAGCCAGATCGATGCCTCGCTCACCCAGCCGGCGGGGGGGGAGTCCTCCGGCGGAGCCCCTCCCAGCGGCGCCCTGGGGCACGTCCCGGCGGCAGCGCCCACGGAAGGGGGCAGCACAGGTACGCCGCCCACCCACCACCCTCCCTGGCCCGCCCGCCCGGGGCCCCGCTGCAGGAGCTGACGGTGCCCCCTTGCCCCCCAGGCCCCGCCGCATGGATGGACCCCGCCGTGGGAGCCCCCGTGAGCGCGCCCTTCCAGCCCGGGCACAAGCGGACGCCGTCGGAGGCCGAGCGCTGGCTGGAGGAGGTGGCCCAGGCCGCCAAGGCCCAGCTGCAGCACCAGCAGCAGCAGCCCGCCGTGGCGGCACCGGCCCCCGGCCCCCGGCCCCCCTTCCCGCTGGGCTACGACGCAGCCCCCCCCCCCCTGGGCATGTTCGCGCCCCCCCCCCCTGCCCCCCGCCTTCGTGCCGCTGGGGGCGGCCTACCCTGCCCTGGTCCCCTGCACGGCCGTCCCCGTGGTGGGCATCACCCCCTCCCAGATGGTGGCCAACGCTTTCTGCTCGGCCGCACAGGCCCCCGCCGCCGCCCTGGGGGGCAAGGGGGGGCCCTTCCCCCCGAGCCTGCTGGGCCCCTGCCGGCCCAAGGCCAACGGGTCCGCCTGGCCTCCTGGGCAGAGCCAGCCGGCGCCCCCCGCCCCGCGCCAGGAGCCCCCCGACCCCTTTGAAGCGCAGTGGGCTGCCCTGGAGACCAAGCCCCCCCCCACCATGCCCAACCCTTTCTCCAGCGACCGGCAGAAGTCCTTCGAAATCGAACTGTGACCCCCACGTTCAGTGGCTGGACAATTCAGGCTCCCCCTGCAGCCCCCTTATTAGAGTCTGCTGTGTGTGGCTCGTCTGCTCCAACGCGCCCCCCCCCCATATTTGGACTGCTTTCCGGACCCCCCAGAAAGAGACCCTGCCCTGAATTCCTGGGCTCCTGGCTTTGAACCCACTGTACCCCAGCGCGCAAAGCTGCGTTCCCGGCCCAGGCGACCCCCAGGCTATGTGGGGGGGGGGTGACAGGGAGCGGTGGGGGCCATTTCTGGAGGGCTTCGGGGGGCACTCCTGCCTCGCCTGGTCCCGATGGCGGCGATGCAGAGGCTCTGCGCTCCCCCCCCGACTCCGCCTCTCCCACTTCAACTGGTCTGCATGGGAGGGGAGGGGAGGGGGCAGAGCAGGCAAGCGGCCGTTTCCTTGCCACAGCCCCCCAAATCCTGACATGGGGTGCTGCGGGTTCCAGCTGGCCTGGTGCCACCCTTCCTGGCCTCCCCTCCCCACCTGGGCTTCCCCTTCCCTTTCAGTAGCCAAAGCCGCCCCCCCACTGAGCTCATCTCTGCCTGCAGCTCCCCCAATGCGGCCCCTGGCCAAAGGGAAGGGCACCCCGAGTGCTTGCCCCACCCCGCAAGGGCCCACCGGGACCCCTGAGCGAGAACAGAGTCTGGATCTTGCTCTGGGAACGGGTCGAGCCCCGGCCGGGGTGGGGGGGCTTGGGCCTGCTCCCGGCCTCCCTGTGTGGGCCCAGGGCCCCCGCAGCCGGAGCAGTGCGTGGCCGGCCCCCGCGGGGCGGTGCTGTGCCGGTCTGGTCCCCCCCGGCCCGCAGGCCTGCTCAGCACGGAGTGTGCAGCTCGGTCCCCGGTTTGAGGACGAGGCCAGGGTGCCTCTGAACGGCCGCGCGAGAGACACCGTCCGGCATTCCCCTCTGCCGCGCGGCACCACTGACGCCTGCACCGGCACCTGGCGGCTGCCGTGGCCCCACTGCCGGTGATCGAGGGACAGCCGGATGGGCCCGCGCGCTTGGGCTCACCCCCGGGCTCTGCCAGGGGCTGCAGCGCAGCGGTCAGCGGGGCAGGAGCGGATGCAGAGCCGGGGGGTCCGTGCTGGGGGGCATGTTCTGCAGTCGGCGCTTTACAGTGTTCTCGGCTCCACTGGGTGCTGGAGGCCATTGCTCAGGTTAGGGGCCTCGGGGGGGAGCTGCTCGTGGCGGCCGCGGCGTGGCTGGCCACTCGAGTGAGACGGAAGGTGGGGGCGTGCGGCTTTTCCTGCGGTCCTGCGCCCCCCCCCCCGCCCCCGGGCACTGTCGTCTCTGCTCTGGCTTTCCCTGCAGGAGGGGAAATGAATCTGGCACATGAATTGAGTTTACACTTTTTTTAGACCTGCGTCTCGAAGTCCTATTTCAGAACTGAAGTGGAAACCTTCAGCGGGAGGTGGCACCGCGCTTCTGGCGCGGGAGCACGGGAGCTGTGGGGGTGGGCGGGGGGGCGGACGCACGGGACTGCGGCTGGGTGGCGCTCTGCACGCGGCGGAGCCGGCCCTCCCGCCCAGGGCGCATGGGGACTGCCGGCTCGGTTTGGCACGGGCAGCCCGGCTGCCACGGCAGGGAAGGAGCAGCCGCAGGAGCGTGGGCAGCCGGGTGGACGCCCGGCGGGCTTGACTGGGGAGATGGGCAGGCGCCCCCGAGCTGAGCTGCCCTCCGCTCTTCTCCCTGCGCCCCCCTTCCCGGGCTGAGTGGGCACCGGGGTGGTGCAGCGGAGGGGGATGGATGGGGGGCCACGGGGGGGCGTACCACGCTCCTTCCCATGCCTCCTGGACACAGAAAAGAAGGCGGGACGTTGGGGAAGTATTTTCTATCTTATTTCCAAATGTTTTGTATCAAAGAATCCCACATATTTGTATTATATGAGAACAAATAAAGCCAGTAATATAATAACCAGATCTGGGTGCTGCGTGGGCTCCCCCAGGCGGCATGCGTCTGGCGGGTGTCTCCCCGTGGGCCTTGTCCTGCCGCTCACGCCGCCTTGTTTCCGGGCAAGACCCTGGGGCGCAGGGCCGGAGGAAGAGCCGGGGCGCATGGGCCTGTGGCTTTCCGTGATTGCAAGACGTTCCCTGGGAGTCTGTGGGCTCGACGGGAGGTGCCCTCCTTTGTTGACAGCATTATTTTCTGCTACCTTTTACAAGCTTTTTACAGCCAGGATGGGTGGCGGGTGGCTGGGGACGCTGGGAGGCCTTGCACTGGGCAGTTGCGCGGGGCCCACCGCCTGAGGCACCGAAGCTGCCTCTGGGTGCTCCCGCTTGTGACCCCACTGGCCCCAGAAGTGAGCTGTGGGATCCCAGCTCTCCTCAGGAAGCTGGAGGGGCCCGGCTCCCCGGCCGCCGCTGTGCGCAGGTCTCATTTCTCCTGCACTGTGAAATGAGTCCTGAGCCAGGACGGCCCCTCGGAGGCTTCTCGCTCGGGTGTTTTCCAAGCCTCCGAGGGAGCCGCCAGGACCCGCCTGGGCTAGACTCTGGGGCACCATGGCAACCGGCTCTTCTCTGGCATGAGTTTCTGGGAGCCGGGAGGATGTGCTGTGGCAGATCAAAAGGCCACCGGACGCAGGGTGCGCCAGCCGTGTGGCCTGCTCCTCCCAGCAAGGACCGGTGCCTTACAGAGCCTCAGCCGGGAGGGTCAGGAAGCTCAGAGGGCGCCCTCTGGCGTGGCCAGAGGCCGTGGCATTGGAGGCAGCCCTCTGCCCCCAGCCCTGGCTTTGGGACTCCACTGCGCTCCCCCTCACGTCCCGCCCCCATGGCAAGAGAGGCCTCCTGCTGGTGCTAAGCCTGGCAGCTCCACCAGCCCGGAGACTCTCCCGGGGGGGGGGGGGGTGGCCGGTGCTTGTCGCTGGAGCCCCTCCGGCCCTTGAGAGCCGCCCAAGGACTGCACTGAACCTCACGCTGGGGCAGCGCAGGGAGGGCTTTTCCCTTCCTCAGCGCAAGCTTCCCAAGCGAGACACACTGGGGCCAGGCTAAGTGTTGCGGAGATGCCTGAAAACCGCCGGACGAGCATAGGGGAAGCGCGCCAGGCCAGCGTGGAAGTGCACAGACGGCTCTGGAGCAGGCAGAAGCACCGCCGGCGGGCCTGGTTCCAGCAGCGCTTCAGCGGAGGAGGCACCTGCTGGCCACGGCGTCTCTGCAGACTCCCTCGGGCTTCCGCCAGGTTGTGGCTAATGAATCCCGAGCACGGATCACCAGGAAAGGCCACCGGGAAAAGGGGTGCTTATCCAGTGCAGGAGAACCAGTGCCGCAGAAGCAAGATGCAAAATGGCTGTGACAGAGCAGAGACCAGGCGGAAAAGAGCAGTGCCACTGAACAGCCCGACCGCCGAGTTCTTCAGGAAAAAGCAACGACACGCTCGGGCAAGAAGATACTTCAGCAATCCTGCGCGCAGAAGGTTTGGGGCTTGTTGCGGAGCAGAAGCTGACTGGGTAGACGTGTGGGTCGTGCCATCAAGCCCTCTTCCACTTACGGGAGCCCCAGAAAGGAAAGGCCTCCAAAATGGGGTGGGGGGGGGCTCAGCTCTTCAAGCGCAAGGCTCTGGCTTCCTTTCCAGATTCAGTCCCTCTCATGCGTGGGTTCCTTTCCCGTTTGTCTCTTGCCTGCGACTTGGCCTGGCATGGTCATCTTCTCCAGGGAGTTTCCTTCTCATGATGCGTCCAAAGTACGACAGCCTCACTTGGGTCACTTCTGCGTCAAGGAAAGCTCTGCCTTGTTCGATCCGGGACCTGCTCGTGTGCCGGGATTCTCCTGGTCCAGGCCGCTTCGCCCGCAAGCACTCCTCCCGCACCATCTTTTGGATGCATCCGTTTTCATCATGTCAGCTTTCTCCACGTCTGGCCTTCACAGCCATACATGGAGGATTGGGAGCGCACGCTTGGGTGATCTTAGCCTTGGTCTCTCATAAAACAGCCTTACACTCGCAGAGAAGCACAATTGCAGATCACGGCTAGACTGCCTCGGAAGAGGATTCCAACCAGGTCCTGCAAGCACGGGGTGGGCAAGCGATCCCAAGTGAGCCTGAAGGAGGCCACAGATGGGTGGCCGAGCTCCCCTTCCAAGGGCCGTGGCACCCAAGGGCGCAGCCAGATTGCTGGGCTCCCAGGCCTCGGACACGAAGCGCCGGGCTGGAGGAGCAGGAGGCAGACCTGGGCTGAGCGGCTGTTCCCGCAGAGCCGCGCAGCACCCCTCGCCCCAGCCCCGGATGGCCGCGTTGCGCGGCGGGGGAGCTGCCCGCCAGGACGACCTCGCGGCCCCGCGTTCGCGTCCCCGAGAAGGCGCAGGCTCGGCCCGCGGCCCTCGGCCGTGCAGGGCCTCCCCCTGCGCGCCCGTGCAGCCGGCCGCCCGCGGGCCGGCGGAGCAGAGGGAGCCGCCTCCTGCCGGGGCGCCCTCGGTGCCGGTGGTCCCGTTTGTGCAGGAAACAATGCCCGCTTGCAGCGACGGTAATCCGGGGCGCGCAGCCCCACCCGCGGCCCTGCGCACCCGAGCCAGCGGGCGCCGCCATCCGTTCGCCACCCCTCACCCGCCCCTTCCCGGGCAGGCATCTGGGGGCAGCCCCGGACCGACGCCCGGCCGCGGGCGGGCAGGGAGCCCCGTTCCAAAGTGCGAGGACGCTCCGTCCCGAGACATGCCCCGCCGCGGCCGGGGACGGAGCAGCGCAGGGTGGGGGTATCTACTCAGAAGTAAACCCCACTGGCGTCAATGGGTCTTACTCCCAGGTAAGCGCACAGGAGCAGTTCTAGGCAGGTTACCACAAAACCATTCCTGCTCCCGACATGGGGGCTGCTGGAGTCCGCCCTGCCGCGCCCCGCATCCCCTGCCCGCCTTCCATCCGGAAGACGACGAAGCTGCTGGCCTACCTTGTCGGGCCGTCGCGAGGAAGGACGACTCGCACGCCTCTGGGAGCGCGCCAGCGGCGCTCCCGGGTGGCTCGCGGGCGGGCGGGCGGGCGGGCGGGGCGCGCCTCCCAGGCCCCACCTGCTGCGGCGGGGCGAGCGCAGGGTCAGCGCCGCCCCGCTCGGCTCGGCTCGGCTCGGCTCGCGGCCGGCCTTTGGCGACCCGCGCTGGAGCCTCTGAGCACGTGCAGAAAAGCTCGCGAGCAAAGTCGGGCCGGCCGGAGCGTGTCGCGGGAGCCTCGCCGCTTCTCCTCGCAAAGGGGCCGCCGCGCTGGGGCCTCGTTTCAGGCGTGGGGAGGCTGCGGCTGTGCGGCCCCAGATCCGCGCGGGTTAATGGCGGCGGGGCCGAAGTCCGGCGGCGGTTCGGGAGGCCCCGGACCAGCGAACGAAGGATGTCGACAGGGACTCTGAGCCTGTGCAGAGTATCCCTGTGCCAGTTCGCTTTCCGACCCGTGCGAGTGCTGGAGCGCAGGTGGGCGAGCCCCACCGGGAGGCTGCGCGGCCGGCCGGCCTGCCTGCGGGGGCGGCGGCGGCGTGGACCAGGAGGGGCTGGGTGTCCCGCCAGAAGACGCTCCCTCCCTCCCCCCCCCTGCACGCGGGGCCCCTGCTGCCGGGGGGAGGGTGTAGGGGAGTGGCCGCGGGGTCGCACGGCATCCGGGCGCCCAGGAGCCCGAAGGGAATGTCCCGCCCCTGGTAAGGGGCTCACGGACCTGGGGTTGCTCCAGGCTCGCCCAGAAGCAGGAAAGGCGCAGGGCTCGGGTCGTCCCGCAACCCACTGGGAGGCAAAGGCACTCTGCACGAGGCCAGGAGCACCTTCGCCGCCGCCGTTACGCGTGACTGGCCCTCCCGAGGGTCCCTTGTCCGGGTCTCGACATCTCGACACGCCCCGGGAGGCGCTGCCGGCCAGGGGCGCGAATTGCCCCCTCGGGGGCAGTTGGAGGGGCCGATCCGGAGCCTTCGCCCTCCCCGCCCAGCAGCCGTACCCGAGGCCGCGGTGGAGCGCCCCCTCCTGGCCCCCCCGCACCTGCCGCGGAGCGGGGGGCCCCCTCGCCTGCCTCCGCGCCGGGAAGGCAGCTGCGCAAAGCGGGGCGTTGCGCTTCGCCGAGACGGGCGTCCACGGCGGGGCCGGGCGCCCCCTCCCATTTCCTCGGTATCCCGCGCCCAGCCTCCGTCCCTGTGGAGGGAGGTGGGCCTCACAGCTGTCAAACGCAAGGCCCGCCGGGAGCTGTAGTTCCCTTGTGACAGCTGCCTGGCATCCACCCTGGCTCTTAAAGAGCCTGCGAAGGAAGGAGGGGAAATAATGCAAAAAAGAGAGAGAAAAAGAAAAAGTGGGGGGAGGCTCCTGTGAAGCCCAGAGACTACATTCCCCATGGTGCACCGGGGCTCAAAGGAACCGGACTGTGATTGGCCCCCCCCACCCTGCAGGCTGCTGGAGAATGAATAAAATTGTACAGTATATTCTGATGTGAGAGGTTAAAAAAAAAGGAACGAAAAGAAAGAAAGAAAGAAAGAAAAGGGGGGAATTCTCTGCCTCTCCGCCAGCCCGGGCAGGCTGAGCGATCCTCGTGCCGCACCAAAATGGCCACAGCTGTGCACAAGCCTATCAAATGGTGAGTGGGCACCCCACATCTGGGGGCGGCGTGATCCCCCCGGCAGGCGTGGGGGCGAGGGGGGCGGCAGGGGATGCCTGGATGCTCGCGCCCTCCCTCCCTCCCTCCCTCCCAGCGCGGATGGGCTCGCATGGCCAGGGACGGGTTCAGACAGCCTGCCATCTGGCTGGGGGGGGCGCGGGGGGAGAGGCGGCGGTGAGGGGCCGGGCTGGGAGAGGCTGGCTCGGCTCGGCTCGGCTCGCCTCCTCTCGCGGCCAGCACAGATGCGCGAGCGGGGGCCCTGCCGAGGCTCGTGGCTGGTGGACATCGGGGTGCCAGGGTGTGCGTGCGCACGCATGTGTGGTGGCCGGGCGGTCGCACGGACGCGTGCCTTGGGAGAGACCACGGCCGCGGGCGGCCCCATGTTTGCATGCGGAGGCATGTGCAGAGCGCCCTGCCTGGGCGTGTGCGCGCTTTCCTCCCGCAGCCACCGAGCCGGGTTTTGCCAATGGACCGGAAAGTCCCAGGGAAGCAGGCCAGAGCGGGGTCCTCTCCGGGGCTGCGGGGTGGGATCTCTGGGGTGGGGCTCCATTTCCTCCCCTCCCAGGTCCCCCATGCGCTGGAGCTGCTGCCCATCCTCCAGGCCAGGAAAGCTGCCCCCACCGGGTGGGCCCTTTTCAGGGTTTACCTTTTGAAATTCTGGTTTCGAAAAAGCCACTCACACACATGCTCCACGACACCCCTCAGAGGAAGGCCCAGCCACTCACCTCAGGCCGTTGCTCAGTGGCAAAGGGAGCAAAGGCCCTTTGCCTATGGACAGAGGCACTCTTTCTTTATTACTGTCACGCCGAGCCTGAGGCATGGCCTCCACGTCAGGGCCGCTGGAATAAATGACGCCCTGGGCACTGGCTGAGGTGCTTTGCTGGCCAAGAGATCCAACGCAGGAGTGGGGACTGGGGTCCTCCTGGCTCAGTTGGCGGCTTGATGCCCCCCTCCCAGCCTCGCCCCCTTCCCCCAGTCTCGCCCTTGGAGCGGGCTCCTCCGAGGCCAAGGCCCTCCCTCTGGCCAGCAGCGGCTCCTTGCTGTGGGGCAGGGCAGGCGCTGCGCCTCCTGCCCACAGACCGGCTTCTCCCTGGCATCGGAGCCCCTTTCTCTGCTGGCGCCGTTCAGCTCCGCTCTTCTCGCTGCAGCAGGTCAAGGCAGAACCCTGTGGCCCTTTGGCGATGGGCAGCCAGTTTCTGCTCTTCTCTGTTGCCGCTGTGGGTGGGGACTCTGGCCCTGTCTCCTTGGCCAACCAGCTTCACGCCGCTTTTTGGAACTGAGAGGACTTCCCCTCCCTGCTAAATCACTTTGAAATGCAGCCTGCAGTCCTGAAACCCTTAGCAAGAGGGAGTGCTGCAGAAATGGACACAGCCCCCCCGAAGTGAGCGCATTGCCTCCGTGCTGGTGTTTGAGGGCGTCTCCTGAGCGATGGGACTGGGCCCTAAGAGAGAAAACCCCACAGGAGCCCCTCCAGAGCGGCCTGCAGGAGCTCACCGCCAGCTTGAGCTAAGCAGCAGCAGCGCTGCTAGAGTGCAGCTGCAGGTCCACCAAGGCGCACGTCACGGGAGGGCAAAGACGTGGGTCGCGGCTCAGGGATCTGCGGGCGTGCGAGGGGGCCTCGGGGCCGGCCGGGGCGTGCGAGGGGGCTCAGCGCCGTGGCCTTGCCCTTGCAGCCTGGGCGAGGATTTCTACCGGGAGGCCATCGAGCACTGCCGCAGCTACAATGCCCGGCTGTGCGCGGAGCGGAGCATGCGCCTGCCCTTCCTGGACTCGCAGACGGGAGTCGCGCAGAACAACTGCTACATCTGGATGGAGAAGACCCACCGGGGCCCAGGTGGGGCTGCTGCTGCTCTATGAGGCATGCCCCCTGTGCTAGGCGCTGTACGTAGTGCTGACCCTTCTCCAGAGGCCTTGCGGTCTGTGCGTGTGCCCAGAGGAGGGTGTGGAGGAGGGAGACGGAAAAGGGGCTACATGGAGAGGAGGCAGCGAGAAGGATGCCAGCAGCAGTCGGGTGGAGAGGCAGAGCCGGGGGCCTGAGGAGGCGAGGAGCCGGAGGCGGATGTGCGGGACGTGGGCCTCCTCGACCGCGGCCTCGCCGTTCTTCTCCCCGGGGCCCCAGTGGGATCACCGCGGGCCTGGAGGGGAACAGCCAGCACGCGGGCTGGCCTGGTGCTGGTGGATGAGGGCATCAGGCCCTCCCGACTTCCTGGGCGCACTGACGCCCCTGCCTCTCTTCCAGGGCTCGCCCCAGGCCAGATCTACACCTACCCAGCCCGCTGTTGGCGCAAGAAGCGGCGGCTGAACATCCTGGAGGATCCACGGCTGCGGCCGTGTGAGTTCAAGATCGGTAAGAGGTGGCAGGTGGAAGATCGGCGTGGGAGGGCAGGGGTGGTACCCGGGGGGGGAGGGTCAAGCGCAGGCCGTGAGACGAGGGGGGTAGGCCAGGCCAAGACCCTGCTGCCCATCAACCGGGCTCGAGCTGCCTTCCCTGTGGCGGCTCCTGGGCGTGAGGTGCGTGTGCTTCAGCTCCAGCTCAGGAACAGAAGTGGGGCGAGTGGGAAGTGCAGTGGCACCCCGAGAGCAGCCTCCCCTGCCCTCGCCCTCCCAGGGGAGCTGGGCAGCCCGGAGAAGCAGCCGCCGCTGCATGAGGCTCTGCCTGCAGGCGGCTTCAGGCCCTGGGTGCCAGGCAGAGCAAGGCAGAGGAGCTTGGCTAAGCTGAGCGATGCAGGCAGAGGAGCCCAGGAGAGGCGTGATCTTGCCAAGGTGTGCTTTTAAGGGGAACGGAAGGGGCGCTTCCCCGGCTGCCAAGCATGCGAGGCCTTCCGTGTCTCCGTAACCTCGGAGGGCTGCTGCCACCCTTCGGTGGTTTTCACTGGGTGGACTGGGGTTGCCAGTGCGGGGGGGGGGGGGGATGCAAACGGTGCAAGGCCGCAAGTGCCCCAACCGCTGTCGCACTTCAGCATCCTGCCTTCACTCCCGTCTTTGGAGAAGCTTTTCAGCTTCTGGAACGGGGGAAAGCTGTGCCAGAGCTGGCGGAAAGCAGGGTGCCTGGGGAATGCCAGAGATCCAGCATGGGATTCCAGGAAGACTGGGCTTGGCCCTCGGGCCGGTGGCTCCGTGCCCTGCCCCTCAGGGCTCGCGGGCCCAGCTGCAGCTGCTGCTCTCACCAGACCCGGGTGACATGCCGGCCCCAGAAGCGTGTCTGGGTGGGAGGTGGCTTTGACACGCATCCTCAGCGCCTGGGTGTGGGTGCTGCTGCCCGTGGGAGACCCCTGGGACGGACACAAAGCAGCCCCCCCGCCCTGCAAGGATGTCTGATTCACTGAGTGTGCTGAACGCCACCTCTGCCGGCCCAGGTGGTGCTGCCCACAGTCCTCGGGGCTTAAGAGAGCCCCGGGGCCTCCAGAGCCCTTTGCTGCCCGTGGGCTGGCAACTGGGAGCAGCATCTGGCCAGCTGGGCAGCAGTTCAGCCTGGCCAGCGGCCGCCAGTGGGGAAGCTGCCAGGGAGGCACTTGGGGACGGGCGCCCTTGCCTGAGCTGGCCCTTCTCCTCCCCCACGACAGACTGTGAGCCCCCCCTAAAAAAGGAGGGGGGGCTGCCCGAGGGCCCGGTGCTGGAGGCCTTGCTCTGTGCCGAAGCCGGGGACAAGAAGCCGGAGCTGAAGGAGGAGGAGCTGGTCCTGGACTGCCCGGTGAGCCCCGTTGCGGCCCCGGGGCTGCTGGGAGGATTGTCAGCCCCCGGCACCAGGGGCCCTGCCCCCTTCCTGCTGCGCGTGGGGAGGCCCTCGCAGGCTGGGGCACAGTGTTGGGGGTGCCTGGGGGGCTCCGTGTGCGGCTGCCTTCCCCCTAAGCTGCTCAGAGCCTTGGCCAGCCCTCCTGGGGCACGGCCCTCCCCCCGCCACCATGGGGAATGGCACAGGCCTGGGGCCGCACTGAGCGGGCACAGCCGCCCCTCTCACCCCTGCTGGGCCCTCTCGTGGGGTCTGTTGCAGAAGGCGCCGATTGGGGAATTCCTGCATGACTTGGACACAGATGACCTGGAGGAGGACGCGCCGCGCCGGAAGAACAAGGCCAAGAGCAAGGTGCGCCCGGCGGGTGGGGGGGCAGGCCCATGACCGAGGAGGGCGGAGGTGCTGCAGCTCTGGCACACGCGTCCCGCTTCCTGGCTACTTTCCAAACTGTGTTCAGAGCCACTTGCAAGAACAGCAACTAAATTGTCAATAAACACCTCTAACAAACACTTAAGAGATGTAGCAAAAGCATTTCATGATCTGCTACTGGAATCCATGCAAGCAAGCGAACGAAAAAGCGTGGCTGTCAAAGCTTCCCTGAATGTTGGGAAACTTTCCGCTCGCAAAGCACCCCCCCCAGCAAGCACCCGCCCTTCGCCAGGAGGCACTTGTGGGACCTCTGCCAGCCCCAGCGTGGGGCCCTGCTCCCTCCGGAGCCGTCTGCCGGGCTGCTCGTGCCGCCCGTGGGTCGCAGGCACTCCGGGCAGGGGCGGGGAAGCGGTCTCCAACACAGTGCAGTGCCGGGACGAGGGACCTGCCTGCAGCCGGCGCGGCCAGCAGCCTTCCCCAGCGAGGCCGGCTGGGCGTGGAGGCCCCGGCGGTGCTGGCACGCCCGGGAGGCTGTGCGGGGCTGGGAAGGGGCTGTGAGCTGCCCTGGCCGGAGCTGCGACTGTGCGGCTGGTCTCTCCCCGCCGGCAACCGCCTGCTGCTCCCTTCGCGGAGGGCAAGGGGCCACGTTCTCGACCCTCAAGGCGAGACCTCGCTGCAGGGCTCAGCCCCTGCCCAGAGCTTCTCGGTGCCGGAGCACAAGCAGGAACGGCAGCAAATTCCTCCATTCGCCACGCACCTCCCTCTGCTCCCTGGGATGTGGCACCTTACAACGGCTGCTTGAGGGGCCAGCCCTGGGCCTGGAAACCAGCGCAAGAGCCACAGCCAGCCCCAGCCGTGCCGGGAGCACAGAGGCAAGCCGCCGCCTGTCTGGCTGCCCAGCCTCAGGCACCCCAGGCCTCCGTGCCCCAGGCCACACGCTTCACCTCCCCCCATCCAGCCCTCCACCTCTGAGGCTAAAGGAAGGACTCAGAAGAGGTCAGCTCCTTTAGGGCTGGCATCTGTCCGAATCACAAGCCTTAATCTACACGATGAACTGAAAACAGGAAGGGGCGCTTCAGGTTGCAACACGTGCTCCGAGTTTGCCCTTGCCTTTCTTCTCACTCTGCTTGGGTGTTTCAGCCTTAGCTGGCTGGCAATTCTGCTCTTGCAAAGCTGAGGCGATTCGTCTTCGTTAGAATGAAGAGGAGCTGGGCTCTTGCACCGGGCTCAGGACCACTTTGCAGCTCAGCTGTTGTGCAGCACACCGGATTAATGTGGGTCATTACTGGAAATATTAACTGGGAGTCTTCATGCAAAAACACAGTCGCTCTTTGCAAGAGAAGTGAATCAGAACAGAAGCCATTTTCTCCGACGGATACTATGGGAGTGTAGAAAGGGTGAAAGACGGGGAGGCAGCCGCCGTGCGGAGCAGCGGCAGCAGCGGGAGCATGGCCTGGCACGCAGGAGGGCTGGTTCTGGTCCCGCTGGGCAGCCGCTGCCCCTCAGCCCAGCTCAGCTCGCATAGTCGCTGTAAGAATACAATGGAGTGGAGAAGAACTCTGTAAGCTGCACGGGTTCCTCGCAAGAGGAGAAAAGGAGAGAGATAAATGTGATCTAACACTAACAGCCATCTGGGGGCTGGGAGGTCTCCCCTCCAGAGGCATGGCCCCCCTTCCTGAGAGCTTTCCGGCACAGCTGCCATCCCGGCTGCAGCCGGCAGAGCTGCTGCGCCATCTCCAAGCGCTCCGGGGCAAAAGCTGCAGCCCAGAGGGCACCCTGAGCAGTGAGGGCAGGGGAAGGCGCTGCGCTCAAGCGGATCCGTACCATCCTGAAAGTCTGCAGGATGGGGTGGCCGCCTTGCGGCTGAGAGCGGAGAGATGAGGCTGGGCCACTGGAGGGCGGGTGGGCGGCTGCCGTGCCCGTGGGGCACGGGGAGCCTGCCAAAAGGCCGGCCGGGGGCAAAGGCCAGAGGTCCACTGCCAGCCCAGCGTGCCCTCATGCTTCCTCCGTGGGGCCTGGGAAGCAGCCTCTCACCGCCCTTCTCCTCCCTGCAGGCGTATGGGATTGGTGGACTGCGGAAGAGGCAGGACGGGGTGTTGCTGGAGGACCGGGACAAGCCCTACGTCTGCGACAGTGAGTGGTCTTCGGCGGCCTCAGCTGGGCAGGCCGGGATGTGCAAGCGGCAGGGCAGCCTTCGCCCTGCGGGGGTCCGTCCCACCACCTGTGGAGGCCTGGCCTGGCTGCCCCTCCTCCCAGTCCAGGCGGGCGGCAGTGCTCTCCAGGCGGAGGCGGTGCTGCAGGCCGGGCAAGGTGTGGGTGCCCCCCATTTCCCCCTCCATCGGCCAGGTGGCCCAGTGCGGCCAGGCCTTTGGTGTGGAAGCTGCCTGCCACCGGAGGTTTTCTGATGGCCCGAGTGCGGTTTGCTCTGTCTATTGCTGAGCTTTTAACTCTGTGTCTCTACGTTGTGCCGAGGTGTTGGTTTTAATCCGTATTTTGTCACTTCTAGCCACCATTCCCTAACCATGCCGAAAGCGGTGCTCTGCTGATCGCTCATCATGGCCAAAGCACCCGGGGCGGGGGTGGGGGGTCCCATGGGGTGGCACTTTGCCTCAGGTCCCGGAAGGGATGGGGTGGAAGCGGTGCTCAGTGGGGGAAGACACAGCAGCACGTGAGTCGGGGGGAGCGTGGCCACGCCCAAGGGGACCGTGTGCTCTGCGGCAGAAGCGGGGGGGGGGGGGAGACCGCCAGACGACTGTGCAAGGGGAAGAAGGTCCCTCGTGGAGGGGGCTTTCCACTGCGGGCCCCCGGCTCCTTTCTCTCTTTGGGGGCCCGGCTCCCACTCCAGGAGGGCTGCCAGCCATCGCCGCGTACATCTGGAGCTTCTTTCTCCTTTCAGTTTGTGGGAAGCGCTACAAGAACCGCCCAGGGCTGAGCTATCACTACACACACACACACCTGGCTGAGGAGGAGGGCGAGGAGGGACCCGAACGCCACACCCTGCCCTTCCACCGCAAGAACAACCACAAACGTGAGTGCCCCGGCCGCTTGCCAAGGCTCGCGCACGGGCCCCTGGCCGGCCTCGCACTGGAGCTGCGGTGGGGCGGCCCCGGCTCCCCCTCGGCAGGCGCAGCCGCCGTCCAGGCTTGCCTCCAGGCAGGGCGCTGCTCGGGCGTCCGTCTGGCTGAGACGGATGGGATGGGGCCGAAGCGGCTGAGCTCGCTCCGGCCAGGCTGCTTCCAGCGACAGAAGAGCCTGGAGCCAGCCGAGGACTCCGGTGGGGTGTCGCGGTTCCGTGAAGAGGCGCAGAAATAGCAAGCCGTGCCAGGGAAGCGACAGAGGCTGCCGGCCGGGCCACCCTCCAAGGCTCTGCGGAGGCTGCAGGAGGCTAATGGGCCTGCGGGCGGGGAGGGCCTCGCGAATCGAGGGGCGGCCGGCGTGTCGGCACCTGCCTTGCGCGTAGAGGGGCGGCTCCGTGCCCGGGACCTGCGCTAGGCCCTGCCGAGCTCGGCGGACGCATCGGCTCCGGCGCCGGCCTCAGAGGGTCCGCCTTCCCGCCGCACGGGCAAGCGCGTCTCAGGGCCTGCGGACCGGGCGCGGGCTGGGGGGCACGGGCGCGCGTCGGTCGCCCGTGCGGAGAGGGGCCGTCCGGCGCCTCCCCACCGCGCGGCGCCCCCCGCTGGCCGGCGAGGAGCCCGTCGCCTGCCGTCGAGGGGGCGCGGGCGAGGCGGAGGCCCCGGCGCAGCGGAGTGGGGAGATCATCCCGCCGGCCCATGTGCGGGGCGGGGGCTGCGCGGCCCCCGGCGCCGGAGAGCCACGGATCCGCGGGGGCTCTGCGGGCGGGCGGGCGCGCGCAGAACGCCCCGCCGCTTGACGGAGCCGCGCCTCTCGCAGGGGCCCCTTGCGCGCCCGCCTCCTCCCGGCCGCCTCTGTGCGCGCTTGTGTGTGGCTGCGGCGCAAAAAGCGCCGGAGGGGGGTGCTGTGCGCAGGTGGCCTCCCGGTTTTTGTGTCGAGGAGAGGATCTGGCGCAAGGGCCCGCGAGAGGGTCCCCGCCCCGCAGCGCCTCCTGGGCTCCCAGGCCGGCGGGGTGGGGGAGAGCGGGAAGGCGAGGCGGCCAGGCGAGCCCCCCCTCCGCCCCTCCCCAGCTCCCACATCCCATCCGTTCTTCTAGCCAGTTGCCATGGAGACCGGTGCCTGCTGATGTAGTCGAATCTGCACAAAGGAGCGGGCGTGGGGGAAGGGCCGCATCGGAGACTGTCCCTGGGGAAGAGGGCCCAGACGCCTGGGTCCCCCGCCCCAGAGGCGCCCGCCGCCCCCGCCTGGAGCGGGGCCTGTCTCTCGCGGATCCCCGGGCTTTCCGCAGAGCAGAACAGCTCCGTTCTCCGCTCCGGAGGTTTCCGCCCTGGGAGAGCGTTGCCTTCCTGTGCCAGCAGCTCCGTTGCCCTTAGGACGCGGGATCCCGCCTCTCCACTCTTCGCGCTCCCGCCGCCCCGCATGCCTTCCTGCGCTCTCCTCATGCATTCGTGTCTTTGCCTGCTCATCGGTTCATCCAGGTCCGCAGAGATATTTTTCACACAAGCCCTTCCACATCCACACTAGTTTGCCATTCAAAAATCTAGGTATCTTCCATTTTCCCTCTGTGCTTATTTCCATGTTTTGCATTTCTGGCTCTCCCCAGAGTTTTACAAAGAGCTGAACTGGGTCCCAGAGAACCAGCGCAGGCACACAGGTAAATCCCACAGCAGCCCTGCGAGGTTTGAGGCGAAGGAAGAGGTGGCCCTGCCGGCCCCCGCCTGGGCAGCCCAGCCCGTCTGTCCCCACCTGCCGGGAGAGGCTGCCCAGCCGGCACGGCCTCGTCTTCCTTGCTTCGGTCCCCCCTTTCCTGCCTTCAGAGGGGCTTCTGCAGGGTTGTGCTGCGGCATTGGGTGGGTGGAGAGGAAGGCGGCCCCGGGTGTGCTTAGAGAGGCCCCCAAGTCCAGCAAGGAGCCGGCCTGCGCTCCGCTTCCAGGAAGGGCAGATTCCCTCAGGAGAACGATGCAAAATGTGCGGCTGTTCCTTTGCATGATGCGGTTCCGCTCGTGATGCTATCCTCGCGTCTTTCAAACCATTTGGAGCATGTTGGCAGTTGATGGAGGAATAGAAATGGGCGGCTAGGGTGAGCAGGAAGACTGCCGAGGGCAGTGTCTCCTCGGTCCTGAGGGCTAGAGACACGGAGCCTTTTCGCCGGTGAAGCCGGTGGCCTCGTGCGAAGCCACACAGGCACCTGCACACCTGCACAGTCGGGCGTGGCTTCGGCACGTATGCACGGCGCACCGGGCCTCGGCGGGACCGCGGCCTGGCCGCTCGCGCTCCTGCAGGAGGGAGCGAGAGTGGCCGGGGGCTCTGTCCTGCGCGGGGGCTCTGGCCACTGCGCCGCAGCACGCGGTCCGGGCATGGCGCCGCTCTCACGCGGCGGCGGAAGCGCATTCTGGGACTGGGCGGGCACACGGGCGGGCGGGGGTGGCTGGGTGTGGGGTCACCCCAGGCGGGGAGGCGTGTGTCGGGCGCAAAGGGGTCTGCGCAGCCCACCCTTGATTTTGGCCTCTCCTTGCTGTTTTGCAGCTAAGAAAGCTCCGGACGGCACAGTCATACCAAACGGTTATTGTGATTTCTGTCTAGGCGGCTCCAAGAAGACCGGCTGCCCGGAGGATCTCATCTCCTGCGCAGACTGTGGGCGCTCCGGTGAGTGGGGTGGGCCGCAGGCGAGGCTGTGGCGGCCTGGAGACGGGCCGCCAGGGCACCGCCGTGCCTCCCGGAGAAGCCCCCGCAGCATGAAGGGAAGGGGCCCCGTGCGCCGTGGGAGAAGCGAGGCTGCCCCACCCTCGCCCGCCGGGTGCTGCTCGGGCCTTGTCGGGGTGCTGCCCTCCCCCCGGCACTGCTCCCCAGGACCCAGGCCAAGGGCCGCTCACGGGAGCCTTGGCTCCGCCCCAGCTGCGCTGCCGCCCCGTGGCCCGTTTGCCCCCGTGAAGGCAGCCCACAGCCGCCTCCAGCCTCCGGGGGGACCCCGAGGACCCGCGGGTGGGGAGCCAGGAGGGCCCCCCCGGGCTCACGCCGGCCGGCTTTCCCTCCGCCAGGGCACCCCTCGTGCCTGCAGTTCACTGTGAACATGACGGCGGCCGTGCGGACATACCGGTGGCAGTGCATCGAGTGCAAGAGCTGCAGCCTCTGCGGAACCTCCGAGAACGACGTACGTGAGCCGGCCTGGCCTGGGGGGCGCACGGGCCCGGCCCCCACAGCCTCCAGCCCGCTCCCGAGCCTCTCAGCCTCTCGACCCCGGGGCCGGGGTGCTGCCTGCGGGCCGCGGCCCTTCCCCACGCTCCACGAGCCACGAGGCGCCCGTGCCCCTGGCCCCGAGCTGCCCCGGGCTGTGGGAGCCCCTGCGGGCCGGCGGGTGGGCAGGCCCAGGCCGCTCGGAGGTCGGGGCAGCCCGGCCGCCCCGAACAGCCTCTGCGCCGTCTCTCCCCAGGACCAGCTGCTCTTCTGCGATGACTGTGACCGGGGCTACCACATGTACTGCCTGAGCCCCCCCATGGCCGAGCCCCCCGAAGGTGAGGAGCCCGACGGGGGGAGGGGGAGGCCCCCGGCCCGGGCAGACCCTGACGCCGCCTCTCCCCCACAGGAAGCTGGAGCTGCGGCCTGTGCCTGCGACAGCTGAAGGAGAAGGCCTCCGCCTACATCACCCTGACCTAGGGCCGCGTCCCCCGCCCTCCCGCTCGGCTGGCCCAGGCGCCGCGCTCGGCCGGGGCAGCGGGGGGCCGGTGGCCGGTCCGGGGGCTCCGCCTGGCTCGGGAGCAGCACCACGTCGCAGCCCGTTGGGTCCGCAGGACCCCTCCTCCCAGCAAGAGGACCAGACCTTCTGCCCCACACCTTTGCCCGGACCCCTTCCCTTCGCCCTCGCCCCATGGCCACGGGGCCCCGGCCCACTGCCACCAGCCGCCTGCCCCCGAGGAGGCAACTCTCAACTCAAAGCCATAAGGCTGGAGAGGGGTCGAGCAGCTCCCCTCCCCGCCTGGATCGCGTGTGTGTTCGGTGTTTCTTCTCCGCCCGCATCCCGGCTCCTTGTGGGTGCCCCGGCACGACGGACGCGGGGCCCCGCTCTCCTCCGGGCTGGCAGGGGCCATGCACGAGGCCTGGAGGATGCCGGACTGAGCCGGGAGGGGGCCAGTGCTGTGGTGGGGGGACGAGGAGGGCTGCTGGAGGGGGAGCAGCCGCGGCCGCAGCCTGGTCCGCCCGGGGTGGGGGGGGTGGGGGAGAGCATTGGGCATGGCGGAAGGGGCCAAGGCTGCTTGGCTGCTATACAAAGCAGGATTTGTTTCAGTGTTGCTGGAGTTTAAACTGTAGGGAGATGGAAGGAAGGAAGGCTTGGAAAAAACGAACGAACGAAAAGTCAGACCGGTGGGGAAGGGTCGCGAATGGCCTGCCCCCCAGAAAAGCGTGGCAGGGGCTGGGGGCCGCCCCCTGGGTGCCGAGGGCTCGCAGGGAGCACTTCCGTCCAGTCCCACCGTGTGTACCTGGTGTTGTGCTGTTGCCTGCCTCGTTACTGTGCTTGGATTGTTCTGTGCATTAAATGTGGTCTGAGTTACAGCCGCGGCCTGTGATGCTGCCTCCTTAGCCTCGGTCCGCCGCTCTCGCTGGGGTCTCGCTGGGGGGGGGGGCTCGATTCCAGGTGTGTCTAGACTGGCAGGAGAACACATTCGCCAGGCACCCTTCCCACACCTGTGCACCGTCTTGGCACCTGCAGAAGCAGCGATTTCCACCAGAAAGTGGTTGCCATGACAACGGGAGAGAGCCGGCACGCGGGGTCTCTGGGTACCACAGCGGCTTCCCGTGCTGCACAGGCTGTGTGCGTGCGTGTGCCACGGACGGAGGAGGGGCAAAGTGGCGCAGGCTGGGCGCCCCCCCCACCCCCCGGGCATCCCCAGCCGCAGTCAAACAAAGAGAAGGACGCAGGTTTTTCTAGGAAACCATTTATTTCGCTCCCCTGCCCTTCCTTCCACCCAGAGACGTGCAGAAATGGTTGTGGATTCCAGAGAATTATGCTGGATAATTTATTTTACAAAAGCCGGTTCTTTCCTATCAGCAATTTTAAGACAAAAATTAAATAAGACAGATTTGATCTGTAAAGATTCTTAGAAAATTAAAAACAAGAAACAATTCACACAACACAACTGACAAAAACGGAGACCCAGCTGCCCCCCCTCAGGATCCAGTAACATGGGGGTTGTGCTCCCACCTCACAGAAAAGGTACTTAAAGGGATTTTTGTAAAAAAGCGGGGGGAGGAGGAACAATCCGTACAAATTGTAGTGTCGGAACCTGGTACAAAATTAAGAAACCGTGTTGGAAAGGGTGACCGGTGGCGGTGCGGGGGAAAGCCGGGGGTGAACTGGCCGTGGGTCGCGCCCGCCCACCGGGCCGGGCTGTGCAGCTGCCCCGAGGGCTGTCCTGGGGAAGACGGGGAGCCCCCTGGGGGAGGCAAGAGCCGCTGCTTGCGGGGGCTTCCTGAGGGCCCGGGCGGCAGGGGGCGAAGCAGCTTCTGAACAGGAGCCCCTGCCGCCGGGCCTGGCTGCCTCGGCCCAGATCCGTGGGAAGGCGCGGGAGAGCAGGCAGCACCCCGCCGTTAAGACAATCGTGGTGCGGCCGGCCGCAAGCCTCGGGTGCTGTGCGTCAGCGGAGGGGTCCGGGCGCCCGGCCTCGGGGCTGCCCCGGGCATCCCCCTGCGCTGCGGAGGGCGCGTGGCACGGGGAAGGAAGACGGCCACGGCCGGGGCCTGAGCCTGGGTCCGGGGTTTGCATAGTTCGGCAGCTGGCCGGACGGTGGCGACCCGAGGCTGCGCCAGGCCACCCCGGGCCAGGGGTCCGAGCCCCCGGCACGCGATGCCCAGCCTGGCCTGCATGCTGCCTGGGAGGCCCCCTCACGGCCGCAGGGCAGAGTCCGCACCTTCGGGCAAGGGCCGCATGCTCTGCCCCCGCCGTCATGCAGGACAGGCCGGCCGAGCGGCCACGGGGCGCCACATACCGACCCCACGTGCTGCATAGGCCCTGAGGTGATTCCGGCCCTGGCGGAGCCGTCGGCAGAGGTGGGGGGGGCGAGCAGGCGGGCAGTCGCGTGGCCTTCCGGCCAGGGCCCGGCTGACGGGCGCGGGCCTCCTCTGCCCCCAAGGGCCACGGGTGCCAGCTAGGGGGGGCCCCCTGGGCGAGCCGGGGCATCCTCTTCCCCGGCCCTGAGCTCTCCCTGCCTTGGTCCGAATCGCTGCAGCTCAGAACAAAACCTGGTGTGCTTAACTCTGGATGCATGCACAGAAATCTCATAGAAAAAAAATTACAAACAGTACCATTTATACAAATATAGTGTTTTATAAAGAACATATACATTTAAAGTTTTGTTTTAACTTCCTGAGCCACTCCCCACCTTGCATTCTCCAGAAAATAATTTAGTTCTGAGAAAGTGCTCTTCCGGGCGCATGCCGCCTCCTGCACGGATGCCCGGGCCGCGGGGAGTGGGCATGGGCCGTGTGCCCCGAGCACCGCATCCGGCTTCCGACTGGCGGGCGGGAGGGCGTCCTCCCCCCGCCCGCCAGGGTGGCACAGAGATTGGGGGCATGAGCTGCGGAAGCGGAGCAGGAGCACGGGGGGCCGAGCCGCTCCAAGCGGCGCGCCAGGCGGAGCAGGGTGCACTTCTGGCGGAGCAGAGGGGCCCGGGTGTGAGCCCGCCCCGCCGGGGCCATTCGCAGGCGCCGCAGCCCCGGCCCGCCCTGCCCGCCGGCGCTCACAGCTCCTTCTTCTCCACGGCGCTGGAGAAGATCTCCGCGAACTCGCGCAGCCGCTCATTGGCCGCCTGCGACTCCTCCTGCAGCCGCTGGTTGTTCTGCCGCAAGCTGGCCACCTCGGCCTGCAGCACCACCTTGTCCTCCTTCTCCTGCAGACACCGGGGGAGAAGCGGGGCTGCAGCAGCGGGCGGGTGGGGAGCCGGGCCTTCTCCCCGGGGGGCATGCCCCAGCCTGGCTCCCCTGGCTGATGGGGCTGCCTTGCCTCGGCTCGGCTCGCCCCAGCACTGTCCTGCGGGGAGGAGGCCCGTCGGCACCCGGCCAGGGCGCCCGGCCGCTTACCTTCTGCAAGTCGCTGTGAAGCTGCTTGAGCATGGCCTCCAGCTGGTAGACCTTGCCGGTCAGGTCCCCGGGCGGCTCCTCGCTGCAGAGGGAGGGAGGGAGGCGCAGGGTTGGCACGGGCGGCCCCAGTCCCGGCCAATACAGCCCCCGCCAGAGGGCAGCCGTGGGGAGCCGCGGGCGGCCCGCGCTGGGGTGTGCCGGAGGGCCCCAGCGGCACGACGGGTCAGGGGCCTGAGGGCACGTGCTTGGCAGAGGTGCCCCCATGCGGCCGGCGTGGGAGGGCGGCGGAGGGGAAGGGAGGGCCCCTCACCTCATGGTGGGCGTCGTGCGGGGCGCTGGTGGCCTCTCCAGGCTCAGGTGCCCGAGGACGGGGCTGTGCGCAGGCGGCGCATCGGGGCTCAGCACGGCATCGTTGAGGGAGAAGAGCGAGACCGCCCGTTGCACTGGAGGAGGCAGAGCGAGGCGGCGGGTGAGCCAAGCCCGGACCCGTGCGCCGGAGTGAGCGGGCGCTGCATCTCCCCTGGGGCCACTCCACCCCCTCCCCCGCGGGTGTCCGGAGCTGGTCGGGGTGCACTGCAGGCAAGTGATCCCAAAGACACGTGTACAGAGCCCCAAGCGCCACCCCAGGAAGCCTCAGCCTTCAGCGGCAGGAGGCCCCAGCAGGTGGGGCCGTCTCGGAGCCGCGGGCAGCCAGGTGCAGGCCGGCCGCCTTCCCTGCGAAGCGCCTGCTTCCCCCCGGGCTCCTGGCCAGCCTTCGCGGCCTCGACCCAGGAAGGCCCAGGCGTGCCGGGTCAGTCCCAGGCCACAGCCCTGCACCCCCGAGGCGGGGAGCGCCCACCCAGCTGGAGGTGGGGCCCCCACAGTCCACCCGGCGAGATCCTGCCCCTCCTGGGCCAAGGGCCCCGGGCATTTGAGTGCGCCCCTCACGGCCTCCTGCAGGGAGACGGCCAGACAGGCAGTGCTCCACGGGCCGGCGAGGAGCAGCCGCCGGGAAGCGGGGCCCCCCCACCACACGGGGGCCTTGTGCCGGAGAGCCTGCGCGCTCGGGGGCTCCACCAGCCCCGGAAGCCGCTCTGCCCACGGCCTCCTGCAGAGACCCTCCTACCTTTCCCGGATCCTGGAGCTGGGGGGCCGAGCGGAGCCGGGCGCGGGGGCTGCGCTCGGCAGGGCTGCCTCCTCCGCCGCCTCCTCCCCTCGGCGAAGGGGCAGCGAGTCCCTTGTGCGGGAAGGCGGGGCCCGCGTGACGCGGCAGGCAGGCAGGCGGCCCGGCTGGCCGGACAGGCTGACGAGCAAGCGAGCGAACCAGCCTGCCTGCCTGCCTGCCCGCCGGGAAGGGAAGCGGCTAATCCGCGCGGGAGAGCCTGCCCCGACACGCACGCCCCTCCCTGGCCTACTTTGCGCGGCCCTCGGAGCAGAGCGCAGGCGTGCTGCGGGAGGCGCTCCTGCTGCTGCTGCTCCGGCTGCTGACAGGCGGCCTGGGAGGGGCGGTTCCGGCCGGGAGGGGCAGGACGGCTCCACAGAAAGCAGGTCGCAGCCACAGCCGCTGCCTGGGGGGGGGAGGCCGCGGCTGGCTCACCCCTGCTGGGCAGGGGAACCCCGTGGCGGCTGCTGCTCACGGAGAAGCTCCCCGTGGGCCCGCAGAGGGACGACGGGGCTGCCGCCGGGGCAGGGGCTGCCCATCACGCCCCCCGTCCTCCGTGTCATGCGGATGCCTGAGCGCAGGGGACGTGCGCACGCCTTGCCCCCCCTTTCAGGGGGGCCCACCTCCGAGCACCACCATGCTGGGGGATGCACGCATGGGCAAGCAGCCTGGCTCCCCTAGAGAAGGCCCCGAAAGGCAGCCACGAGCGCCAGGGGCTGCTGAGGTGCCGCGCCCTTTGCCCCACGGGACGGGCAGCACTTCCCCCTCCCCCAGAGAAAACGGTGCAGAGGCAGGGAGGGGCAGCCAGGGCAGCAGCCCCCACCCCAGCCCGGCAGAAGCACGAGCCCCATGGGGCGGGGGGGGGCCCCTCGGGGCCGGGCCGGGTGAATGGCAGGGGGCCGTGGGGGGGCACCACGCGGGGCGGGGGGGCCTACCTTCATAGGCCTTGGCTGCACTGACCAGGCTGGACCACTCCAGGCCGGCGGCGGCGTCGGGCAGCGGCATGAGGCCGGGGTCGATGCGCCGGAGGGGCTTGTCCCGCGCGTCACTCAGGGAGAGCTCCGAGGCCGAGATGGCGGCTGCGGAGGAAACACGCCCGCGGCTCCGTGAGGTGGGCCGCATGGCCGAGGGCTGTGGGGCCACGTCTCGCTGCAGCCTTGGCCTCGGGGGCCGCGGTGCCCGGGGGCCACCTGCCCGGCGACTCGGACGTGGGTTTCTCCCTCCCCGGAGCGGCCCCCTCTGAGCTGGATCGGACCCTCCCACAAGCGCCCTTCGGCCAGCTGCAGGCACGGCGGGTGCCTTGCGGACAGGCAGCGCAGGGGGCCCTGGGGACTGTGCCCCAAGAGGCTGGGCCGCCTGGGCCCCCGAACCTCTGGAAGCGCCACCCCCCGCCAGCTCCAAAGACAGAGCGCTGCTTCTCCGGAGCGGGTGGCACTCACAGCTCTTCTCCGAGAGGCTGCCGCTGCTGGAGGGCGGGTTCTGCTTCCGCACGGGGAGGGTGCTGGTGAAGAGGACATCGCCGGGCAGGGGCTGCTCCGGGCAGCGGGTGCTGGCGTAGGCGGGGGCGCGCCGGGCGCTGCACAGGCTCTCGTCCGAGAGTGTCCGCTGGAGCGTCTTCTGTGGCGACTGGGCGGGAGGAGCGGGAGCGTCAGCGTGGCTGCGCAGCCCGGGCCCCACGCCCCGTCCCTCGGAGGCCCCCAGGGCTTGCGCAGGGAGGCCACCTGGCTGCGCCCAAAGGCGCCCTTGCAGGTCGGACGGGCTCCCGCTCCGCCTCGGGCAGCCGCACGCTTTGGCCACTCTTGCCACGGCCCGGGGGCACCCCCCACACTGCCGCGCCCTTCGCGGGGCACCGGGGCCGAGTGGCTTTGTGCTGGACCCCGCACGGGGCAAGGAGCACCTGGGGCCTGTGGCGGACTGCACAGGGGCCGCCCGGAAACAGAGGCCTGCGGGGGGCTGGCAATCCCGGCCCCGCCCGGACGTGAACGTGCACGGGGAGCCCTCTACCAACGGCCCGGCCACCTCCCTGGGCGGCTGGCAGAGGCGGGACGGCGGCCGGAGCGCTCACCAGCTCCCGGTCGGGCTCCATGATGATCAGCTTCTTCAGGTCGTCCTCGATGGTGGACTTGTAGGTCTTGCGTGGGGAGCGGAGGTCACGCAGAGACGCCCGCAGCCGCGGCTGCCCGAAGACGTTCTTGGTGCTCAGGTCCACTTGCCTGGCCAAAGCGAGGGGCAGCTCAGCACCCCCCCGCCTCCGCCTCCGCCTCCCACTCCAGGGGCTTCACCGGCCCGGTTTCACTGACTGCCCGAACGCCCAAAGGGCAGCCATGCTCCTGAGCCCCCAAACCTGTCGTGGAAAGCCCCGGGAGCCGCCGGCCAGCCCGCCACTCCTTGCCTGCCTGGCAGGGCGGCCAGTTGCTCACGGATGGGGCCAGACCTGCCGGCACGCCAGCCGGGGCAGAGTGGGAGCAGCCGGGCCGGGCTCGGCCAGATGTCACCCCCAACGCGGACGCCATCTGGCGCGAGGGGCACGTCTCTCCCCCCTCGCTGAGTGGGTCCGTTTTCAGGGATGGTTCAACTCCGGAAACATCTGGCCCGGCTCACGCGTTCTGGGCACCCTGACCGGGACTGCCCTGCCAGCTGCCCCGGGGCTCTGCGGAAGCCCGAGGCTACGGAAGAGGCCAGCTGGGAACGGCGCGCCCGACACGGCCACTCACTTCTTTGGGTCCGTGAAGGTGGCGGGGCGGGAGGGGCGGTCCTCGCTCTTCCTCCAGCCGGCCGGCAAGTGCTTGTTCCGGCTCTGCTTGGAGAAGAAGGACTTGGGCACAGAAGCCGAGAGTGGGAAGGAGCCGGACTGGGGCATGTGCAGGCCTCGGGGCGCGTCTGCTGGGGGCGTCTTGTAGACGTGGGCTGGGCAGGTGGCCCTGGAGTTGCCGTGGCTGCCGAAAGAGAGGGAAGAGGACACGTCCTGTGCGTGCTCCTCGCGAGGGACGCTTCCCGGAGAGGCTCTGGGGCGGACGAGACTCCTCCGAGCTGCTTTCTGCACTGCTGGTTTCCTTGTTCCCGTGCTGCTGTGCTGCTTCCCCTTTCCCCACAGGCGGCCTGGACCGTAGGGCGGCCCACCCTGCTCCCACGGCACTCTCTAGCCATGCCCAGGAGACCAACGGGGGTGCTGAGCACCCCGGGGGCCAAAGGGGCGTGCTGGCTCCAGGGGCCCGATTCGCACTTGGCTCCTTTCGCCAGAGCTGCCTGTGGGCTCAGGCGGCTCCACCCACCTGGATTGCTTGAAGTGGCTGCCGCCGCCGCCGGTGGCTCTCGGGGACACGCCGCCCCCCAAGCCAAAGGCCACGGGGCGGTAGATCCAGCCCTGCCCGCTGGAGCCGGCAGCGGGCAGGGCGTCCCTCCTCTTGCCGGCGCCGAAGGGGGGAGAGGCCCTGGGCAGCCGGTCCCGCCAGGCGGACTGGGCGCCGGAGGCGTCGATGCCGCTGTCGCTGGAGCCACCCTTGGCCAGGGGGTCTGGGTCGGGCTCGGCGGGCTCGGCTGCGTCGAACCAGCGCTCGTCGCTGTGGCCGCTGGAGGCGGTGCTGGAGAGGGTATTGCTGCTGGAATACTGGCCTTCCCCCTGCGTGGGGTGGGGTGGGGAGGGAGGGGAGGCAGCATCAGCGTCAGCATCAGCGTGGGGGCCGCCGGCTGGGCCTCACGCACCCAACTCCCAGCAACTCACCTTGGAGGGGCGGCCGGGGGAGTCCTTGCCTGCCGGCTCGTGCCTGTTCGGCCGCTTGCCCCCCGAATTCGCGGAGAGTCTGCCCTGTGCCGGCACGTGCCAGAGGGGCTCTGCAAGAGCACGAAGGCGGGGGGGGGTCACTGCGGGGCCTTGCCCTCCGCAGGGGGCCCCTCTGACCAGTCCCCCCAAGTGCCCGCCTCCCAGTGTCCAGGGCCCCCAAGCGGCCCCACCAGCCGCAGGCAGATGAGTCGCCGGGCCGGGCTGGCAGCCACGCGAGAGAAGCCACGTGGGGAGGTGCCAAGGCAGCCCCATGGGACAGTCCGCCCCCCCCCCGTCCTCTGCTCACCGAGCCCCTGGAGAAAAGAGCCCCCAGACAGCGCGGCTGACGCGCCCCGGCCACATCCCCTCCGCCGGCGGGCAGGCAGGGACCAGGAAAAGTGCCTCCCGGCCTGGATTTCTCCTCTCAGCGCCTTGCTCCCAAGCGGCTTCTCCAGGCCGGAACCCCCCGCCCCCGCTCCCCCCCCAGTGATCCCACCAAAGCGAGGGCCACCGGGCCACCAGAACAGGGTGCCCTCCGCCCCACGGCTGGGTGTTGCTGCGGGCCTCTCACTGGACGCCCCCACCCCATCCACCTGGTCTGGCCGCGGGGTGGCAACGGTCCCCCTGCGGGGATCTCCGGGGGGCGGCCCGCCCCGCTGCTGCCCCTGCCCGGCCCCGGCCCCAGCCCCACGCCCCGCTCACCGGCCTTGGACCGCTCCATGGTGCTCCCCTGGCTGGCCAGCCCCCCGGAGGAGGAGTCCCCGTTGGAGGCCGCCTCGGGGGCGCAGGGCGGGCTGAAGGGCACCAGGTGCCGCAGGGGGGCTGCGCACCTGCGAGGAGAGCCGAGAGCTGGTGTCGGATCAACGGGGCGGAAAGCGGCACAGCCTCCGTGCGCTCACAGGTTTTAAAAATACCAGGCGAGGGGGGAGGCGAGTGCGAAGAAGGGGCCGAGCGAGCCGGCTCCTCCCGCAGCCCGCCCCCCGCCCAGGCAGCGGGATGCGTCGGCACGGCATCGGCCTCCACGCCACGAGGGCCGAAGGAAGGCCCCTGGCCGTGCGCCGGCCCCCCGCAGCCCCCGGGGCGCATGGCCCAGGCCCGGCACACGCCTCTGGCGCTGCCTCCCGCCCAGGAGACCGGCCGCCTGTGTGCGGCCGACGGGAAACGGGCCCCGCGCCCTGGCCGCCTACCTTTCCGAAGACGACTTGTACCGGGGGGCGTAGGCTGCTCCTGAGGAGCCCGGCGTGGAGAAGCTGCCCGAGGGCTGCCGGTAGGAAGGGATCCTCTCCGCGCCAGTTTGGGAGGCCGAGGCGGCGTGGGGGGTCTCCGGGAAGCTCACTGGCCTGGTGTGGGGGAGAAGAGGCCATGCGAGGGAGGGAAGCGCTCTGCGCGCGCTCACGGGGCCGAGCCGGCCCACAAGTCTCCCACCTGCAGCCCGGCGGTGGAGACAACATGGGGCAGCTGGCGAGGCGAGCGGAGGAGCTGTGCCGAAGGCACCCCCAACCCGGGCCGGGGGGCAGGCCCGCCGGCCACAAGAGGCTCCGGGGGCTCCCCACACCCGCGGCGCGTGCCGGGCAGGTTGCAGCGGGGCCTCTCCCTCGACGGGGGCAAAGCGAGGCCGGGGCAGCCCGGGGCAGCCCGGGGCTGGGGGCCGAGCCTGCCCCAGACCCCTCCCCACGGGGCCCCAGCGCCGGCGCCTGCTCACCTCTTGCCCTGCGGCAGCTGCGACTCGCGGTAGGAGGCGGAGGGGGCGCCCTGCCTCGGGGCCCGGGTGAGGGACTGCGACTGGCCCTGCCCCGCGCCCGGCTGCTCCGCCCACTTGGGGGCGTGGGAGGAGCCGTGGGGGGGAGCGCCGCCCCACTGCCAGAGGGAGCCGCTGCGGTACGGAGGCCGGTAGCCCACCGGCAGGCTCTCGGGCTCCATCTTGGGCTCCGCGGTGCTCATTCTGAAGGACTCGGTCCAGCCCCTGGGAGGGGAGGGGAGAGGAGAGGAGAGGCCGTGCTCTCATGGGCCCGTCGGGGACTGTCGGGCAGCCCCGGGGGGCCCGGGGGAGCAGAGCGCCTCCTAACTTCTCAAGGGGCAGCCCAGCCATCGGCGGGGCCCAAACCAAGCGCTCGGCCGGCACCCGCTGGCCATCAGGGCCACCTTTGCAGGCCACACTTCTCGGTTCGAAGCACGGCAGGAGCTCATGCGCAGAACTATCAGTAGCGGGAAGCATTTCCTGCCAACACGTCCGGGCAGAAGAGGTGGGGAAGCGAGCCTGAGCCCGCGCCTGGCCCGGGCAGGAGCGGGAGCTGCACCGTGGGGCTCGCTCGCCCCGATGCCCTCCTGTCCGCACGCCCCAAGAAGAAGGCTCCTCCGAGAACGAGAGCGCAGCCCTCCACCTCGGAACGCCATCCCCGGGGACCATGGGCTCGGGGAGGAGGAGGGGCAGGAAAGGGGCCCGCGAGCCCTCGCCTCGGGCAGGAGCGGCTCACCTGCGCGGAAGGCCGTCCTCGTGAGGGGGCACGACCACCACCTTCACGGTCACGGAGGTGCGCAGCCAGTCGATCATCTGGTCGTGGCTGAGCGTGACCACGGCCACCTTGCAGATCTCCACCAGCCGGCTGCCCTGCCGGAGGCCCGCCTGCCACGCAAAGCCGTAGTCTTCCACCTCCGCCACCGTCCCGTCGAACTTCACGTGGAAGCCCAGCTGCCCCAGCCCGTTCCTGCGGAGCGTCATCTCGACCGTCTCGCACCCCGAGGTCATGACCTGCAGAAGGGAGCACAAGGGCGCCCGAAGCGTCGTGCGAGCGGGTCAGGGGCACGGACCCGAGGCCAGCAGCCCCCCGGCCCTTTCGGGGAAGGGCGCGTGGCCGATGCCCACCTTCAGCCGCTGCACGATCTCCCTGATGTCCTCGGGGTTGTCCTCCAGAGCCCGGACGAAGATGTGGTCCCCCCGGCCGTGGAAGATCTTGATGCTGTGGGCGTCCGGCGTCCAGCCGATCACGTCCGCGCAGAAGCAGTTGAAGACCACCTCCTTGGCGGCCACGTCCAGCAGCAGCACGAACTCGTTGGAGATGGCCAGGATGCAGGCGAGCTCCGCCCCCCGCGAGTAGTCCTGGGCCAGGGTGCGCCACGCCACGGCCCCGGCGCTGTGCTGCTCGGCCCCGGTCCGGGCCTTCGTCTTCTCCTTCTTCTTGGAAGCCAGCGAGATCAGGTTGAACTTGCCCGTGGAGTCGATGGGGGTGCTGGTGACACAGTTCTCCGCCAGGTCCCTCAGGTACTCCTGCCGCGTGCGGGTGGCCATGGTGTGGAACTTCTCCGATTTGTGCGCGGCGTTCTCGGCGTTGATCACCTTGGCCAGCAGGAAGTCTCGGAAAGCGTCTGATTTGCGGAAAACGGCTCTGCTCGGGATCGCCGGCCCAAACGGCGGGACATCCTTGGAGCGGGTCACTGCCACACTGGGAGCACGGTAAGAAACAGCCAGGGTCGCTGTTCAGGCTCTGCGGGCGGCTCGGCCGGGCACGGCCCGTCAGGCGGCCCCCAGTCAAGCAGGAGATGAGAGGCGCTCTGGGAAGGGCCACCCGCAGCAGGGCAAGCCCCTCTCCCAGGAGGCCCCCCAATCCTAAACCGATTGGTGAAAGAGCTTTTCCTTCCGGGGGCTTTGAGCTGCAACCCTCGGGGTGCGAGGAGAGAGGCAAAAGGGGAGCAAAGCCGCCTGGGAAACAGGAAGAGGCTGAGGGAGATGCGCGGCCACCCCCCTGCCCTGCCCTGCCCTGCCCAGCCCAGCGCAGCCCCACCGGCTGGCCGCCGCTCCCCCGCTCAGTGCCCACTGCTTCCCGACCCAGGGGGCATCGCTGCCGTGGGGCCCTGCCGCGGGCAACACGGCTCGGCCACGTCCTGCCCCACGTGCCTGGGGGGAAGGGGCGTACCTGTAGCAGACGTTCTCCGTGCACGGATTCTGGGCCCGGACGATGATGAAGACGTGCTGGAAGTGCGAGCGGATGTTCTGGGGGGTGAAGGGCAGGGCGCCCGGCTCCTGGAAGATGATGGTGACGATGTCGTTCCCGATGTGCCTCTTCCGGAGCAGCTGCGGGGAAGGGAGGCGGGATTAATCCCTGTGGGCAGGCAAGGAGGCAGGCCCCGAGAGACGGGGGCCGGGCGTGCGCGCTGCACCCGTTTCCAAAGCCCACCAGCGCAACAGCTGCCTTTCGCCTCCACTCGCGAGGGGCCCAGCAAAATGCCGGCCACGGATCCCGAGGAACCCACTCTGTCGCCAGAGCACGGGGCCGGACGCGGGTGCGAGCGGGGCCGGCGGGCGGCAGAGCCCGTTACCTGCTGCCTGTTGTTGGGGGTGTAGGGGAGCATCGTCGCCACGTGGAACATGATCTCGTAGCCCTGGCACGTGGTGTACAGCGAGTGCGTCCCGGTGGAGTCGGCTGCGGGGAGAGGAGCCAGGCACCGCTCAGCCCCGGGCGGGCGGGCAGGCGAGGGGCGCATGGGGCGGGGGGGGGGCGCCGCGCAAAGGGCCGCGCGCCCGCGGGGCGGGACCTACTTTTGGTGTCGAGCTGGGCGGAGTACTTGCTGAACCCGCGCAGGCGCACCTTCTCGCCCAGCAGCGCCAGGAACTCCTCCAGGGCGGGCCCGGCCTCCTCGTTGTTGTACATCTCCTCCTCGGAGCTCTGCCCGGCCTTGCAGTACAGGACGCCCACCTTGTGCTTCGAGCAGAGCTGTAGGGGGCGGCGGAAGGGGCGTCCCACGTGAGAGACGCCGGCCCATCGGCCACGGGGCGCACCGCCGTGCCGCGCTGGACGTGGCCGGCGCGGCGGCCGCACCCCACAGGGGCCAGAGTCTCGGCCCGCTTCGGGGGCAGACTGCCACCGACCCGGGAGGGCCCACCGGGGCTGCTGCTCCGGCCATGCCGTGCTGCGCTCGACGCGGAGCCCTCGCCCTGTCCAGAAACCGCCCAGCCTCGGACCTTTCGGCTGCCTCCCCGAGTGCCGGGCTGAGCACAGCCCAAGGGAAGCTCCCGACGGGAGAGGAGCCCTCGCCGCCCCTCCGAGGGGGCATGTCTCAGCGGGGGGTCACCTGGGCGGGGAGGGGAGGTGGCACAGACACATAGGCGGGCCCCCATTTCCTTGCGCTCCCCGTCTCGGCAGGCGGTGGGTCCGCGCTTCCTGCTGCGGCACGGCTAACTGCTGCAGGGGTGGGGGGCTGAAGTCGGGCTGGGGCCCTGGAAGGCCTCCCCCCACACCCTGGCCCCCGCCGCGTGCTCACCCCCTGCTCATCCAGCTTGCGCAGCTGCTCAGTCACTTTGGGGACGCTCAGGGCCAGGCGCAGGCAGGGGCTGTTCAGCTCGGGGACCACGTACTCCAGCGCGTCCTTGAACGGGAGCCCCCGGACCGTGCCATGCTTCGTGGCCGTGGGGGTGGCGTCCTCCAAGATGGCCCCCCGGAGCGTCGTCAGCTGCAGGGCACAGGGAGGAAGGGTGGGTGGGGGCCTTGCTCCGCTCTGGTGGGGGGAGCATGGGGGGGGCCGCCCGCGGCTTGGCGTGCCTCCCCCTGCGGCCACTTCTGCTTCCGGCAGGGCAGGCCCAGCGCCGCTCCTGGAAAGGCCGGAAGCGCGAGGAAGAGCATTTGGCCCGCCGGCGAGGGGGAAGGGGAAAAGGGGCCACGCCAGGCCAGCGCTGGCCCCGGGGGCCCCAGCACCCGCGCCCGGCCAGGCCAGGGAGCAGCACAGCCCGCTCGGGCGCCGCCCCCTGCTGGGCACAGGGAGCCCTGCAGCCTGCAGGGAGAAAGGAGGTTTCCGGGCTTGGCTTTCCCTGGGGGGGCCCTGCTGCCCCGGAGCGCCCCGAGGCCTGCGAATGCCTCCCCGCACGCCCGGCCTCTGGGGCCTTTCTCTGAGTGCCGAGCTCCTCCGAGGCTGGCACCAAGGGGGGCCTTCCCTGGGGTGGCTCCACGGCTCTGGAATACTTCCCCACTGAGGCCTGCCTAATCCCAAGTTCGGCATCTTTTTGGCACCCCGTCAAGGAAGCCCTTTACGCAGAGGCTGCCCAAGCGCTCGGCCTCCCTCCGGCCGGAAGGGCTGCGTGTGCCAGCTGCTTCAACGGCCCCTTTGCAGGTCCGTTTTACTGCATCGCTTCACTTTCCACGATTTATTTTAACACGCCGATTTTGTCATTGCGCTGTTTCTATGCGCTGCTGAACACTGTCCAGAGAGTGCGACCCTGGGATGGTACGGACGTGAAGAAAAATGGAAGAGGAGGAGGCTGGAGGGGTGGTGGATCCGGCCCCACAGCCGCGGATTCAGCCTCGGCTCGGGCAGCCCACCAGGACACTCCAGCCCCACCTGCCGAACCGGGCCATGGCTACAGCGTGGGGCCAGGAGCTCCCCGCAGAAGGGCGCTCACGGGGCAACCCGGCGGGACTGGGCCACGGACCGGCGGCACACGCTCTCCGGCTCCGTCCCCCGTGGCGCGCTCTTCACCGACGGGGAAGCCGCCCCGGTCAGCTCCTCGGCGCTGGATGAGCCTTCAGACGTACCTCGCTGGTGCGGAAGATAATCCTGTACTGGTACTGAGGCCCGTGCTCCCGGTGGTCCTCCAGTTTCTCACGCCTGATGCTGACAGCCACCGGACCCAGTTTCTCGTCCACCCCAAAGTAGTTGGAATGCTCTGGAAGGAAAGCGGGGAGGAAGGGAGTGGGGGCCCTTGGCACCGTGCCCTCCACCGCTCAGGACCAGACCCCGCACCTTGGATCCCGTGTGGCCCCCGGGGTCAGAACACCCCTCCCCTGAACGCGATGTGGACCACCGTGTCGGGGGGAGAACCGGCACCCAGAGAGGCCCCCTCCCGGGGGCAGCTGAGCCCCCAAAGGGGCACCGTGTGTGGGGAAGAATCAGCCCGTGTGGTCGGGCCTCTTCCACGCCGGTTCTTTGCTTGTTCTTCAAGAAGCTGCCGGGTGAGGCATGACGGCGGACGCAAAGGCAGCGCAGAGCGAGACCCCCCCGCCGGACCCCCCTCCCAGCCACCGATGGGCACGGGGGCTACCTTTGCCGCAGAAGTAGTCCTGGTAGTAGCGGGCGCCCAGGTCCACATGCTCGATGCTGTACTGCTTCAGCCGGGCGACGTTGCGCTGCAGCTCCCTGGGGACCTCCAGCACGGAGATGCTGGCGTTGGTGCAACGGGGGGCGGGGGGGGCCCCGGCGACACCCCCCTCCCCACAGCTGCCCACCCCCGGGGAGCCCGCGGAGGCCTGCAGGAAGCTGACGTGGTGCTCCGGCTCGCCGCCGATCTCGTTGCGGAAGTGCGGGCAGCTGAGCAGCAGGGCGTTGCTGTTGTTGTCCCCGGGATCGTGCTCCAGGTCCTCCTTGTGGTTGGGGTCCTCCGTGCCCATGAAGGAGGCGGGGGCCTCCAGCCCCCCCAGGCCGCAGGCCCGGGACGAGATGGCCGCAGAGGCCGCGGAGGCCCCGGTGGTGGTGTTCCTCCGCTGCGCCATAGACACGCGCCGGGCGGCCGCCTCGTTCAGGTCGAAGAGCATGCTCTGGACGTCGTAGTGGGCAAAGCTCTTCTGGCAGACCCAGGCCCGTGCCCCGTCCTCGGCCTCCGCCGGGGCCCTGCCCGTGTCGTGGTCGCCCCTGCCGCTCCGCAGCTTCCTGAAGATGGACTCCCCGCCGCCCGCCTCGACGCGGGGGCCCTTCTTGCGGGACTTCTCCTTGTGCGGGAAGGGGAGGTCCTCCCCCAGGAGGGGCGCCCCGAGCTCGCCCCTGCCCTCAGCCTTGGGGGCCCGGGAGGCCCGGAAGGAGTCCTGCGGCGGAGGCAGTGCCACCGGCTTCCCGCTGCGGAACTCGTTCAGCATGTCGCAGAAGCTCTGCTCGGAGATGCCCTGGACGTCGATGGAGGAGGTGCTGCCGTACTCGCGGAAGAGGGGCAGGCCCCCCGCCAGCCTGCTCCCCCGGGGCTCGGGCACCTCGTCCCAGTCCCCTTCCCCGAGGGTGGTCTCACTGCTGCTTCTGTTCCGCAGCAGCGGGAACCCCCTGCCCGGGGAGCGCGGCCAGCCGCCCTGGAACTCGGCGTCCGTGGACCTGCCCCGGGGCAGCCGCTGGGAGCCCCTGTGCCCGGGGAGGGCCGCCCCACTCGGGAGCTGCCCATTCTGGAAGCCCTGTGGCAGGGAGGCGGGGGTCTCCAGGTCCCTGCTGGTGCTGGGGGCAGTGGGGTCCTTCAGCCCTTCTCTCTTGGGGGGCCAGTCGGCAATCCGGGCCCGCACACCCATTTTTGGCACGGCCGGGGTCGTGGCCGGCCGCGAGGCAGTGGCGCCCTCGGACTGGGTGCCGCAGCCATTCTGCGCCCAGAAGCCCGGAGAGTAGAAGTCACCCCCCTTCAGGGCAGGCCCCCCCACGTCGCTGCTCTCCTGAGCCGGTCGGTGCGATGACATAGTCCAACAGCAGCGCTGACTCGGACTCCCTGCGGGAAGGCGCTGCTCATCTCCATTGGGGCACCCGGGCCTCAGCCGGCACGGTGCGGGGTGGAGCTGCGGGGTGCTGGCCCGTCCGAGGCTGCCTCCGGGCTCCCGGGCGAGGGACGCCGCATGGCCATCGCAGAGGCTGGTGGCCCCCAGGAACCCGCATCTGGAGGAGGTGGCTGGGATCCGAGCACTGCGCTGCACACCGGGCTACTTGGGGAAGACGAACGGCGGCCGAGCTCTCCGGGCCATCCTGAGGAGGGAAGGAAAGGGCACCCGTCAGCCCCGGCTCCAGGGCCCCCCAGACGATGACCCCTGGGCCTAAGAAGGGGGCAAGGAGGGGGAGCTCAGCCCCCTCCTCTGGAGCATCCACAGGGGTAACCCCACAGCACAGACCGGTGGGCAAGAGAGTTGAAGACGACATCCTTCCTGCAGGGTCCTCCCAGGCGGCTGGTCCCCCTGCTCCCGCCCTGCTGGGAAGGCCACGGGTCTGGTTCCATTTGGGAAGCGCAGACTGGCCAGCGCCACCTTCCTGCCGATCCCATGCGCTGGGAGGCCTCGGTGGCCCCCCCCGCTCGCTCACCCGCCCGTTCCCACTTGCCCCCCAGCCCACCCCAGCCCTGCTCCTCGGGTCGCCCTCCGGTGTGGAGCAAGCGGCCACCGCCCGCTCTGGCAGGCAGCCCCGGCCTGACTCAGAGGCTGGCTTTGCCGGTCGCCTTGTCCTCCGAGCATGCAGCGAGTGCTGCAGCCATTCACGTACCCTGAACCCGACAGCTGCCGTGCTGGCCCGACCAGGCCAGCCGATCTCGCGAGGGCAGCCCAAGCGGGACGGAAGCAAAGCTCCAAGGGGCTCCGCCTGAGCAGCACACGAAACCCATCACAGCCGCCGCACAATCCCCGGATCCAGAAGCAGAACCAGGAGGCGCGACGGCGTGGGCGGCTCTGGAGGGCGCAGCTCGGGCACGGGAGCTGCGAGCCGAGGCGCCTGCCGCTGCCGCTCTCCCACGCCGGACCGGCAGCCCAGCGACCTCCCCCTCTCCCCATATGCCTCCCTCTGGGTCAGGCGGAGGAGCACTGACTCAGTCGGCAGGCTGAGCCTGGTGGGTGTGGGGAAAAGGGGGTGCCGGCGCGGCAGGGGCAGAGGGCCGTGGCAGGCAGGTGCCGGGCGGGCCACTGGCCTCCTTGGGCTCGCTGCCCTCCTGCACTCCAAGCGCCACGGATCTTCGCTGCGGCGCTTCATGCGGATGGGGCTAATCCTGCTCACTGCGGCTGGGCAGGACGGGCGAGGGCCCCGCACGCACGCGCACGCTGCAGCGGAGGCGTGCAAGGGATGGCCTGCCGGGAGAGGGGGAGCCGGCCCGCCGGGCTTCGCGCATGGGCCACCATCCGCCGACACGCTGCTGCGCGTGCCCCCAGGGCTCGCCGCTCCGGCTCTCAAAGGCCCGTGCCCAGCAGGCCCGGCGCCGCTCCTGTCACCACGGCTGCCTCCCGAGGACAGGCGTGGCGGACACGGGTGCGCGCAGGGCCTCGGCAGGCGCTCGGGGCCACAGCACCGCCCGCTCCGACCACGAGGACGCGCCGAAGGGGGCCCCGCGAGCCGCAGAGGAGCAGAGCCCTCCGAGCGGCCCTCCACGGAGAGCAGCCACCCTGGTGCCGAGGCGGCCCACTGGGCCTGGGGGGGCTGGGGGGCCGGGCAGGCCCCCACGGGGGTCTCCAGCAGCCCCTCCCCGAGGCCAGGCATGGACTGTGCCCTGGAACTGACCGCCTGGGCGGGCTCTGCGGGCAGAACAAAGGGCCCGCAGGGACTTCCCAGGTGGCGGGGCGGCACCGGGGCGAAGCGATTCTTCACAGAGCGTCCCGTGCGAGGGAAGGAGAGCCGGTGCCGCCCCCTCCGCCCTCGCACGGGGAAGCGCATGCGTCCCACGGCCAGGAGCCCGCACAGCACGAGCGACGCAAGCGCCAGCTCCGTTGGCCACGCCGCTGGCGGAGCCTTCTCCAAAAGCAGTGAACAAGCGGCATCCCTGGAGGAGAAGGGCCGTCCCCCCGGGGACGAAGCGGCACGCCTGGGGGTTCAGTCCTGCAAGGAGCGGGGAGGGGGCGGGAGGCCCCCCACAAAGCGACACACACGAGGCAATCGCTTGGGCCTCCCCAGGACTCCTGCCCCTGTCGAACAGGCGGAGGCTGCTGCCTTCCTGCCACGCCACGCCACGCCACGGCTGGGTCTGCATGCGGGGAGAGCAGGGGGACCTCGCTCGGCTCACGTTCGCTCCCTGCGGGGAGGCCGGCACTCAACCCTTCCCAAGCACCAGGGAGGGCTGCCGGGCCTGCTCCCCGCCACCCCGGGGGGGCAGCCGGGGCGTGGGATCAGCCCGCAGCACGAGAGGCAGGGGCACCCGATGGGACAGGGGTGGGAGCGGACCGGGTCGCCCGGGTTGGGGCCTGTGCTGGCCAAGCCTCGGCAATCCGGGCCGCTTCCCACGTGGTGCCAGGCTGACGGCAGACGCTCCCCACGGCTTAGGGAGGGCGCAGACAGCTGAGCCCATCTGCAGACGGCCCAAATCCCCTCGTGCGGGGAGCGTCAATCTTCAAGCCAGACTCCTCGGGCAGAAGGCGGCTGCCCTCCCCCGCCCCAAAGGCTGCCCGTGGCAAAAGCTTTGAGCTGAAGGGCCTCTCTGGCACACTGACCGCAGCCGTCCTCCGGCAGGGAAGATCTGAAGGGCGGGACGGGGTCCGCAAGGCCACAGGTGGGGGAGGGCGGCACAGGACCGCCAGCTGGAGCCCGGCTGGCCACCCGGCTGCCCCAGCACGAAATCCAGGGGGTTGCTCTGCTACCATCCCCCTGCAGGCCAGGAGGGCGCCACCCGGTCCACGGCATCAGCGCCACATACCTGCTGCCGCCACGGACCGGCGAGAGCTCCCCGCGGCCGGAGCGCGCCTCTTCCTCGCCTTCGGAGGCCCAGTCCCTCGGCAGCGCTCTTCTGTGGCTCCCACGCCGAGGCCTGGAGGGTGGGTTTCTTGACTCTCCCCTGGGCAATGATGTCCGATTGTGGCAGGCCTGTGGGGCAGAGTGGTCACTGAGGTTGGAATCCCGGCACGGCCTCCTCCCTCGAGGGGGAGGCGCAGCCATGTCCCCCCGCCAGAACCGTCTTCCCGTCAGCCCACGGGAAGCTCCCTGGCCCGAGATTGCAGGCAGCAGTTCAATACCGAATGGCAAGTGGTGGAGCGTGAAATGTGCAGCGGCAAGGCCTGTCCGGCCGAGGGCGGCCAACGCGGGCGCACTCTGGGCTCAAGCCCAAGCCCCACATGCTGGGAAGGGAAGCGCTGCCCTGCCGTGGATGCTGCGTGCGCACATCTGCCTCTCCTGGGCAAAAGCCGGACCCCACAGAGAAGTTGTGCCAAAGCACACGGAGGCAGGAATCCGCCGATTTGCCATGCGCGGCTCTCCCCCCAACAGCACGGAAGCCTGCCAAGGAATTTCACGTGGCAATTGGGCACCAGGAAAGCCGTGGGGTGAGGCGAGGGCGTCAGCAATGAGTCGGCTCGGCAAATGCAGCCGCTCTGTTGCAATCTGTGGCGAAGAGGGAGCAAAGCGCAGCCGGAAAAAGTTCGTCTCCCCAACCCCGGGGTCGCAAAACAGCTCGGCCTAACGGGGGGCTGACTTTGCAGCGAGAACTCCCGGGGGCACGGGGCCCCCTTGAGCTCTGCCGCATAGAAACGGTGTCCCAACCAGGGGGCACCACGCAGCGCCCTCCCATGGCCAAGCGAGAAGAGCGCAACAGACGTCCGGGCTGGGCCATGGATTCAGCACAAAGCGAGTCAGGGAGGGCTGGGGGGCTGCCTGGCAGCCTCCCTCAGACGGCCCTGCTCCCAACGGGCCGCGTTCACCAAGGCCTGCTTGTGTCCAGGAAATGGCTGGGCTGCGGGACCCCGGGAAGCAGGTGGGCCACAGCCTCTCCGCTGAAGGGCGCCGCGCTTCGGAGAGGCGCACCCCACGCAAGTCTGAGCGAAGGAACAGAAGCTCCACGACTGCCCGGCTGCGCATACGCCCGGCAGAATGTCTAATCATCTTACTCAGAGCCCAGCTGGCGAACGACTTAACAGGCAGCCACTCCGGCGCTTGGGCCGCGCCGGCATCGCAATGGTCTTGGGGCACAGCAACCACCTGAGCCAGCTTCCCTCACGGGGCTCGCAGCAGGAGGCAGGCAGCCATCGGTTCCTCCCCTCATATCTTACACATCCATGTGAAACTCACTCCATGCCCCATTCCCCGAGATACACAGCACATCCGAAATGTTCCAGCATGATAAAAAATACCAGTTTTTCTAGCCTCCTCTGCCAAAAAGCCGCCTTTGGCGCCTGCAGGACAAGGAGGTGGCCGCCGTCAAAGGCCCCCACATCCAACTGCCATGCAGAGATTAATGGGGGCAGCGCCACAGGGGGGCCTCCACAGACACGGCCAGCAACACCCGAGCCTGGGCCGGGCCGAGCCCAGAGGGCTGCAAGGCACAGGAGATGGCTCTTGGATCCCGTGGCCCACCGCTCCAGGCCCCACAAGCCAAGCGGAGGTCACGATGGGGGGCGAGGGCGTGCCGAGCGGGTGCGTGCAAAGCCACGGAGAAAGCGACCTGAGAAACGTTCCCCGCCTCTTGATGGCGGAAGGGGGGACTTCTTCACACAGTGGTGTCAAACGCTGGAAGTCGCCTCTGCGTCATGATCCGACGGCCACCTGCCGGAAGTGCACGGGGCTCCCGCGGCCTCCCACGGAGGTCCCCGGCTGGCCCCGCGGCAACCAAACGCTGGCCTGGAAGGGCCCCTGGGTCGCGCAGCCCAGCTCTTTGGCATTCTGATGCAAGCCCACTCCTTCCCAAGCTCGCTCTCACTTGCGAGCAGAAGCCGCGCCTCCCAAGAGCTCCGTGCGTCAAGAGCCCAGCTCGCAATTCTCCTTTAGCAAGAAGCTCGCCCAGTGGGCAGAGGAGCCCCGAAACCGAAGGATCGAAGGGATGCTTGAAACAGCCTCCGTCTCCACGAAAGGCATCGATTCCTAGGAAAGCGAGGAGTCTGAGGCACACGCAGGCACTGTTCCGGTAGCCAGAGCGGGATCGCCGGCACATGCCTGCAGCCGGGGGAAGCCCGATCTGGCCGGGCATCCCCAGAGACGCTCTGCCGGCAGCATGTGCCGTCGGAACTAGACTGAGCCCGGCCTCTGCACCGTGACCAGGCCAGCCCGCCCGCCCGCCCGGGACAGCTCCTCCCGAGCTGCGCTCCTCTCTGGGCACGTCTTCCCTGCACCGCACTGGCAACGGGGAGGAAGCGCACCGCATATCACCCCAATTACGCACATCTCGCTTCCGTGACATTTCCTCCAGGAAATGAGAAACAGTTGGAATGCCTGCGAGTGGAAGCACACCAGCTGCGCAGATGGCCGGGCGAAGTGTCCCAGCACTTGGGAACGAGGCGCCTTCTGGAGCCCCCGAGGGTCAGAGGGTGCCCCTTCCGGCCCGCCTGCCCTGCGATGCTGAAGGAAGAGCGGCCACGGCCTTCCGCGGGGACAACTTGGTCGCCGTGAGCAATGCAGTGACTCACGGGCAGAGCAGAAGAACGGGAGGAAGAACTCCCGCAACGTCTCACTGGAGACCTTTGGAAAGAACCTGGACAGTCATCTGAGTGGGATGGCGCGACCCTCCATGCACGGCTCCTGCGGGACTCGCCCACCCTCTCGGCACCCCCAGCACCGCCTCCCCTGCCGGCCCCCGCCTGCCGTAGTCGGCGCCACCGGAGGAGGGGTTCGGGGCCAGCCCTTCCGGGGCTTTCGAGGCCTGCGCCTGGAAACAGAGCGGCTGCTGCAAAGCGAAGACACGGGGAGCTGAGCTCTCCCCAGCAGCGGCCCCATCGGCAACGTGGCCGTGGCCTCATGTGCCACCTGCAATGCCAGAGCACTGTCCAAAAACCGACCGGCACAGAGCACAGCACCTCTGCCCCGGAGGGCCTTCCTGAGGCGGAACCGACCCGGCTGGCCCTCCTGGGCCTCCTCCTTCCCCACCTCAGCTGCGGCGCCACCTGCAAGTCCAGGAGCAGCACGGGGCGCCAAAACCCCGCTAGACGGTGGCACTGGTTGAGGCGCCTTTGCCCGCCCACAGGCCCATCCCTGCCCTGGCGGGACGAGGTGCCCCTCAGAGCCTACCTCTACCCCACTGCGGGAATGGGGCACCTGTGCGGGGTCCCCGGGAGCGTGCCGGTGGGGCCGGGTGCGCGCCTCCTCTGGGCCTCGGAGGAGGCCCCACTGCCACGAGCAGCGCCGGCAGGACTTGCGGAGTGGCCCAGAGCGGGCTCCCTCGCCCACCCGCTGCCCGGCCCCCCCTCCACGCGAGGGGCCTCTGTGCCCAGGGAACGGCCAGCCCCGCGATTCCCACGCTCCACACCAGGCGCTGAGCTGCAGCTGGCAAGAGGGAGGCAATGCCTGGCCGGGGCCGGCCAGTGACGTGCCGGCCTCCACGTGCCGCACGGGGGTGCAGCCGCGCGAGAAGCCCCATCCCCGAGACGGCGGGCTGTGCCGAGGGAGGGCCGGGGCTCGGAAGTGGCCAGGCTGGCGCTGCACCCCTGCGGGGGACTCCCCCGGCCCTCTGCCCCCCACCCATCCCCCTCCTCAGTGGGCCAGGACCATGCCACAATTCACTCCCCCGAGGCAGACGGGTCCTCGGCGGAGGGGCTGCCCCCCCGGCTGCGGACAGGGAGCCTCCCCAGGCGGCACTCACAGCGCCCCACATTCCCACACTGCCAGCCGCCCCCAGAGCTTCCTGGCTGACTTCTTAGACCAGTCCTTCCCTGTCCTCCCCGAAAGGCCAAGAGACCCTCTTGCCACGAAACCAGCATCCGTCTAGCTTCGAACCCGCAACCAGGGTCCCAAGACCACTGGAGGCGGCACGGAGGAGGATTTCCTTTGCCTCGGCGGCTGGCCCAGTCATTTCAAGGAAGCCAGTTCAGGAAGGAGGCCGTCCTCACCGAGCCCTCCAGCGCCCCCGACTGACGAATTTGCTTCCACAACCGGGAAGGGGGAGATCGGCGCTTGCAGGGTCCTGGGAGTTCCCACGGAGCGGCTTCGAGCTTTCTCCCGACCACGGGCTTCCCCGTTTCCCAGGGACCCCCCTCCAGCTCAGTCACGTGAGCCGGGAGCTCCAGCGGGAAAGGGGGACAAAGTTCACTTTCACTGTGCTGAGAAAGCAGGCCATGCTCGGGGCGCACGCACCGTCCTGCCCTCTGACGGCTGCAGTGCCAAGTGCTGCACGGCCCCTGGAAGGGCAACACGCCAGGAGCCAAGGAAGGCTGGCTCTGGCTGCAGCGGGAACACCCCTCCCGCACACGCACCTGCCCAGGTGCGCCGTGGGAGCCTCGCAGCACCGGGCGCAGGCAGCCCTCGTGCCAGGGGGCACCGTGCCGGGCCCAGCGCAGACCTGGTGCCAGGGCGCTCTGGGCGGCCTGCTGGCAGAATGCCGCTCAGCTCCCCTCACCTGCCGAGGACTCCGGAAGCAGCCATTTCCTGCCAGGTCGGAGCTTCAGCAGGTTGCTGCCCGTGAAGCACCTCCTCCCTTGGCCTCCCCTTGGCTGCTTCACTGCGGGGCTTGGGCCTCACGCTCATCCTGCTCAAGGGCAGCACTTTCCTTATGTTCCCACCTCGTTAGTAAAATGAGGTGTCCTGGTGTGATTCTGATGGTTGGAATGTGTTCGGAATGGGGAGAAATGATGAGCTGTGCCGAACAAGCTGCTCAAGGAGGGCTTTTTCAAAACCGCCCTCTTTTCAATGGAACTCTACCCCTATATTAGGGTTAGGGGTGTGCGCCAGGGTAGGGTCAGGGCAGTGATGGCGAACCGATGCCACGCATGCCACAGGGGCACGCAGAGCCTTCTCTGTCAGCATGTGAGCCAAGTCGCCCCAGCAGCCGAGCATCGGATAACAGCGCACACTGGGGCCATGCGCATGCTCGGAAAGGAGTAGCGGCGCCAGGCAATGACATCACATGCTGTGACACATTAGCCACGACTCATCCAAGCTTTCACATG